AGAAGTTGGTGCTACTGGCACTCAGAGCCAATATAACGACCCGGAAGTAACAAAAATAACTACAGAGACTGATTCTAAACTAACTATTCAGGCCAACGTTGAGACCAATTTAGAGAACGACCATAAAAATGATCCAGAAGTTGGTGCTACTGGCACTCAGAGCCAATATAACGACCCGGAAGTAACAAAAATAACTACAGAGACTGATTCTAAACTAACTATTCAGGCTAACGTTGAGACCAATTTAGAGAACGACCATAAAAATGATCCAGAAGTTGGTGCTACTGGCATTCAGAGTCAATATAATGACCCGGAAGTAACAAAAGTAACTACAGAGACTGATTCTAAACTAACTATTCAGGCCAACGTTGAGACCAATTTAGAGAACGACCATAAAAATGATCCAGAAGTTGGTGCTACTGGCACTCAGAGCCAATATAATGACCCGGAAGTAACAAAAGTAACTACAGAGACTGATCCTAAACTAACTATTCAGGCCAACGTAGAGGCTAATTTGGAGATTAACCATAAAAATGATCCAGAAGTTGGTGCTACTGGCACTCAGAGCCAATATAATGACCCGGAAGTAACAAAAGTAACTACAGAGACTGATCCTAAACTAACTATTCAGGCCAACGTTGAGACCAATTTAGAGAACGACCATAAAAATGATCCAGAAGTTGGTGCTACTGGCATTCAGAGTCAATATAATGACCCGGAAGTAACAAAAGTAACTACAGAGACTGATTCTAAACTAACTATTCAGGCCAACGTAGAGGCTAATTTAGAGAACGACCATAAAAATGATCCAGAAGTTGGTGCTACTGGCACTCAGAGCCAATATAATGACCCGGAAGTAACAAAAGTAACTACAGAGACTGATCCTAAACTAACTATTCAGGCCAACGTAGAGGCTAATTTGGAGATTAACCATAAAAATGATCCAGAAGTTGGTGCTACTGGCATTCAGAGTCAATATAATGACCCGGAAGTAACAAAAGTAACTACAGAGACTGATCCTAAACTAACTATTCAGGCCAATGTTGAGACCAAAGGAAGTATAACAAACGGAGCTACTTCAAATAATTTAGAAGATAATAGTTTAACAACAGAAGAATCGTTTAATGGAATAATAGATCCGGACTTTGAATTTTCCAGCAAAAGCAATGAGTTGTCTTTAAATAGAAATAACCAAAGTTTAGATGATTATTATGAAACGTCTTTGTATTTAGGAATCGATATAAAAAGTAAAGTAGACCTTAGTAAAGACCCGAAGGCCAATTTGACTGGTAGTCAATACCATGATCTAGAAGTGGCAAATTCAACCCAGAGCTCAGAGGTTACTTCTGAGGCGAATTTAGGTCATAAAAATGATCCAGAAGTTGGTGCTACTGGCACTCAGAGTCAATATAATGGCCCGGAAGTAACAAAAGTAACTACAGAGACTGATCCTAAACTAACTATTCAGGCCAACGTAGAGGCTAATTTGGAGATTAACCATAAAAATGATCCAGAAGTTGGTGCTACTGGCACTCAGAGCCAATATAATGACCCGGAAGTAACAAAAGTAACTACAGAGACTGATTCTAAACTAACTATTCAGGCCAACGTTGAGACCAATTTAGAGAACGACCATAAAAATGATCCAGAAGTTGGTGCTACTGGCATTCAGAGTCAATATAATGACCCGGAAGTAACAAAAGTAACTACAGAGACTGATCCTAAACTAACTATTCAGGCTAACGTTGAGACCAATTTAGAGAACGACCATAAAAATGATCCAGAAGTTGGTGCTACTGGCACTCAGGGTCAATATAAAGACCCGGAAGTAACAAAAGTAACTACAGAGACTGATCCTAAACTAACTATTCAGGCTAACGTTGAGACCAATTTAGAGAACGACCATAAAAATGATCCAGAAGTTGGTGCTACTGGCACTCAGAGCCAATATAACGACCCGGAAGTAACAAAAGTAACTACAGAGACTGATCCTAAACTAACTATTCAGGCCAACGTTGAGACCAATTTAGAGAACGACCATAAAAATGATCCAGAAGTTGGTGCTACTGGCATTCAGAGTCAATATAATGACCCGGAAGTAACAAAAGTAACTACAGAGACTGATTCTAAACTAACTATTCAGGCCAACGTAGAGGCTAATTTAGAGAACGACCATAAAAATGATCCAGAAGTTGGTGCTACTGGCACTCAGGGTCAATATAATGACCCGGAAGTAACAAAAGTAACTACAGAGACTGATCCTAAACTAACTATTCAGGCTAACGTTGAGACCAATTTAGAGAACGACCATAAAAATGATCCAGAAGTTGGTGCTACTGGCATTCAGAGTCAATATAATGACCCGGAAGTAACAAAAGTAACTACAGAGACTGATCCTAAACTAACTATTCAGGCTAACGTTGAGACCAATTTAGAGAACGACCATAAAAATGATCCAGAAGTTGGTGCTACTGGCATTCAGAGTAAATATAATGACCCGGAAGTAACAAAAGTAACTACAGAGACTGATCCTAAACTAACTATTCAGGCCAACGTTGAGACCAATTTTGAGAATCACGAAGTATCGAACCACAAAGATGATCCCGAAGCTACTGTGACAAGAACCACCGTCACCGAAGTGGTTCCAAAAGCTGATGTCGAGGTAAAGACGCAAGCCAGCTTTGAGACTAATTTGACGGCGACTTCTAAGCAGCTTGTGGAAGGGACCTCCGATTTTAGTTTAGGCCTCAAGAGTGATGCGGAAGTAGCAACTATGACCGGAGTTACAAATAATACAAGTGAGGGTAAAGGAACGGCGAGTGGGTTCATCTTAAATGGAATAAATATACAGCCCAGCACTAAAGCCGAGTTAGAAACCAGCTCTAACGCGGGTACAGTTAATAAAAGTTCCGAAAAAGTTATTACTAGTCCAGTGCTAGAAAACTTTTCTAACGTATCCAGGCTTGACTCTAAGCAGGATTCAGAGATTAGCATTGAAGTTATTTTGGACCACAAGAAGGACCCGGAAGCAAAGGGTTTAGATAATAATGATTTGAACCATAACCTGAGTGAAAGTGCACTTTTTGACAGTCCAGATATTCTAGTCATCCCAATCAATTTATTTATCGAAGACACTTCCCAAATAACGGAGCTGAATTCTAATCAAAGTTTAGAATTTAATCTGAAAGTTCACTTTGAGGGTGCAATGACCAACGTAACGGTCACGCAAAGCCCTGCAGGCATTCTTCCTCTACAATCAAATATAAATAACAACGTCACTGGAGCTAATGTTAATACAAATTTGTATGTTAATACTGAACTGAGTATTGATAGGGATGAACTTAAAAATTTATTAAAAGAGGCTTCGCATAAAAACAAGTCAAGTAATATAATAATTCCTATGAACTTGCTGCTCAAAAATATTGAGTCAGTTCCGAGTTCTGACGATTTAAGTTTAACTATCGATATAAAAGTTACGCTTAATAAGATTGACTCTGAAGGCTTGCAGAAGGAGACTACCGTAACCGAAAGTTCAGAAGATGTCGTTTACTTAAATATAAGTAACAAGAACTTAAACTTAGCGAATGTACCGAGTTGGGCCGCTAATAGCAGTCTTTTTAGGGATCGAATTGGTCTAGCGCTGTCTTCAGGCATAATCAATCAGAACCAGTACATGAATAAGACCAAAAACTATCCAAAAGCGAAAGTAATTTTCCCCGTTTACGTCAGAAGAAGTCATAAAATGTATTCACTGAAAAATGAGTCGAAAGCCAATGAGAAACCCGAAAATTTCCCTAAAATCGGCACAAAGTATAAAGCTAGCCAAATCAATGGGTCAGCCGAAGAAGCACCGCAGACAGCACAGGTTGAAGAGGAGCGCAGTAAGAAAACTTCGATGTGGGAAGAGTCGGAAGCTTGGAGAATACTAAAAAGGCGCAAGAGTCAGGTGAAATTAAAAGCAGCAAAATCTAAGAAAGCAAAAAATACTAAAGACGTTCATAATAAGGCAATAATAAAGATTCGGGCGCAAATAACTAAAAGAGAGTCAGCATTCCAGAAACCACGTTGGAATAAGCAGATATACACGCCTTCCAGCCCAGAAAATCAAGTTCGAAATACTGAAAACGCCAGTAAGACCAATGAAAAAAAATTTAAAGTACCGTTGGCCAGTGAGAAACAGGCCAAAAAACTTTTAACTAGAAGGTAGTGAGGGGAAAGAAGGAGTTGTTGATTTTATAAGAAATCTTAATAGAACGTCTTAACAGCTTGTTTTCTTTTGTTAAAAAATTATTTAAATATATAAGCACGGCCAGTTTATTAACTTTTATTATTATTATTATCATTACAATTATCATTATTATTTTCGTTATTATCATTATTACTATTGTTATTATTGATATTACTATTATTTTTATAGTTATTATTAGTATTATTATCATCATTATTATTAGATTCTTTGTCTTTCAAAGAAAAACTGTTCAGTTTCAACAAGCTTTCCATCGTCACGTTAAAGCTTGATCTTCTAAATATTGGCAGAACCGACTATAAAGATAATTATTTAGTCAAGTACAAACCGTAAATTTAAATAAGTATAAAAAACCTTTTCAAAAAATTGTGTGGCGGAAATATAACGATTTTTGGTTCTAGTATAGAATAAAGAGAATACAGCAAAGCTTTAAGAATAATAATAAAGAAAAGTTAAAAGTGGCCAATTCCATGCCATAAAAGTTACACCAAAAATTGTATAAGAAGAATATTTTTTTCATATAAATTTATATATAAAAGTTTGCCGCTTTTTACTTAACTTTTTATATTTAAAAAGTTCAATTTTCAGATTAACAATTTTGTTCAAATACTCCGTAACTTCCTCATTTGTTAATATTTCAGCTAAAACAATAAAAAAAGTATTAAAAGTTTCTTTTTTAAAGTGCGTAACATAAAAGTTTTAAAATAATAACAATATAAATAAACCTAAAGAAACTCCTTTAAACTCTTGAAGTCTACATTCAAACTCTTTTAATACTTCTAATAAAAGTTTCTCGTTTTTATAAAAAGCATTTTTCCTCTTATTAGTAAAATATATAAAAATCAAAATTATATATATATGAAATTAAAAATTTTCATAATGAGAAATTTAAGTAATAATTGATTATGGTAAAATAATAGAAAGAAAAGTGACAAAAAATTATTATAAATATTTAAATAATAGAACAATAGTTACAGAAAGTAAAAAATAGCATTATTTTTAATGTTAATAACAAAATATAGAAAAAACTATAAACAAGAAAAAGATATAAAATTAAAAAAAATAATATTTTTCGTACGCAATAATATAATAAACATCAGAAATTAATAGTAATAATACTAACCTAAGAAATTGAAAAATAATGTACGTAATAACTATGATGACAAATATTAATAATAAATAAGCAGTTTTTATAGAGAGCAAAAATTAATAATGACAAAATATAGTAAAAAACTATAATAAATAAAATATAATGCTAAAAAATAATTAATAGTAACAATAATAATAAGTAAGCAACTTTTATTGTGAGTCTAGTAACCCCAATAAGCTCTGCTAGTAAAGAAACGGCGGAGGAAACATATTGTTGGCCGAATTTTTCAGCCAACTGCAGAGAATTAAAAGTAAAAGGCACAAGACTCGAAGGAAAAACGTTTTTTTTGGCTTCAGGAAGAGCTAAAATAAAAAAAATAATAAAAAATTATTTTTAAGAGCATTTATAATAAAAAGAATAAGTTAACGACAATCAACTTATAATAATATATAATTACTGGAATACAAATATATTTTTAAAATTATATAGAAAAGAACACCACTATTATATATATTATTGATACTTATTAAAGAAACAATTTGTTATATAAGAATATATTTATATTAAAAAAGGTTAAAAAGTGGTATACATTAGTAATGAAAATAATAAAAACATACATAAGCACTTTTCCATTACTAATAATAAAGCATTTCTCAGCTCGAAAGGAAAGTTCTATAATAAAAATAAATATTTTTTTTCTTATAAAGCTATTTTATTAATATCATCGATAAATAAATTCTTTAAACAATAATAGCGAGTTAATAGAAATCATATTTGATGTAAATTAATATTTTCTTCTAAAAGTATTTAAATTATCATTTAGTTTTCATGTTAACAAAAATAATATTAAGAACTTAAATAAAAAATATACGTCGAGTTTGGCTAAACGCTCCGCTGTAGGCGCTGCTGCTTTTATATAATGTTTATAATAAGAACGAAAAAATAAAAAAAAAAAAAATTTTTATTATTATAAAAATATTACCTTCTTTATATTGTGCTTCATTTACATTAGCGTTATTATCATTGTCATCTTTATTATTATTACTATTATTATTGTTATTGTTGTTTTTTTCATTATTGTCGGTTGTATTAGTAGTAGTTTCGTTAATATATTTATTATCAATAAAACTACTACAAATTTTATTATTTTTCTTTTGAATATTATTCATTTTGCTATAATTATTATCATTATTATTACTATTATTATTATCAAGGATTTCAGTTTTATTTACGCGAATTAAAAGGTTGGAAACTGATATTTTTTCTTTTTCTGAATTTTCTAACGGAAATTTTTTAATAATTTTTAGTATTTTTTTCTGTTTATTGGTTGCTTGACCCCCAGAGAATGCAGAAATCCCACTATTTAGGTCCAAATTCCCAACTCGTAGCAAATCAACCAATGGAATGGCATCAATTTCATCCGTTTTTATTTTTCTTTTGATTCGTTGCTTTTTAGCCTTTAAAGATTCGCGCAATGTGCTTTCATGGTCCTGATTAGCAACTGTAAATTGTTTATTAGTTTGGTGATTTTATGAACTGCATAAAATAATAATAAATTTAAATATTATTAATAATTATACTTTTCTTCTTCTTCTTTATAATAGTTGTAAACTTTAAAGGAAGTGGCTTTTTACTTATTTTACTTGAATGTTTTCTTTTTGTACTAACTTTTTGAAAGTCTTCATCATCGCTACTCCGTTCTCTATTCATATTTCCCTCGGCACAAAATAAATTATCATCTATAAAAAAATAAGTAAAGTTATTTTTAAGTAAAAATTTTTTTATATATATATAAAAATATTAATAAGTATTAATAAATAAATTTTTTTGAGTAGTTTTAAAAAAAATTTATAGCTTCAAAAATTAAATTTTAAAAAGAGAAAAAAAAATTATTTCATTATTACAGCTGTAAAGCAAAAATAATAATTGTAAACGATAATAAATATTTAAAAATTTTGTATAAAAAGTTATAATTATAAAAAGTAAAAGTTTTGAACTTTTATATTGTTTACACGAGGGCTCAAACCTTTAGGACTAAATGTCCTATGTATTAAAAATGGCGGGAGCACGACGTTCGATCTTTATTTTATAGTGTTGATTTACTGGGTCTTGAGCCCCGAAACTATATATATTGTAAACTATACTTTATATAAAAGAGTATAAAGTATATTTTAGTCTTTAAGAAAAATATTATGAAATGAAGTCCCCGGAAAGCACTACCCCCAAAGCGAAAACAACACGAAAATTAAAAAAAATAACGTCGTCGCACGCCATTATATATATATATATAACATTCAGCCCTGAGGGCTGTGCCCTCCGTATTCAATTATGAAAAAAAAAAAAATTTGATACGTAATATAATAAGCATAATTGATAAAGTTAATAAATACTTTTAAAGAACTTTAAATGAGCAAGAAATAAAAATGTTAACAAAAAATATTAAAACATTATAAATACTATTAAAAATAAAAGAAAATAGTACAGGGATTATCTTCAGCTTTAAATAATATAAAAGTGAATAAAAAATATTAAAATTATAATAAGATGATAGAGTTTTATATATACACTCTTATAATAAAAACCTTCTGTTTCTCCGTATAATTTTACAAAAAAACCGCGATGCCTCACGCTTTTAGTATACTTTTCTTCAAACTATATATATTTACAAAAGTATAAAAAGTTGACTATAATATTATAAAAAAGTTTATAAATATATAACTATAAAACTAATTTATATAATATAAAAGTTGAAACAAAGTAAAAAGATATATAAATAAAAAAAGTGAAGGTCATTTATTTTATTAATACATTAAATAAATAACAATTGTTAATACTATAGAGCTTCAAGTACGCCTATAAGGGTCAGTACAAATGACGCAAGGTGGACCCACGTACATTAAAGACGAGCGAAATATTTCATTAAAGTGATTAAAGTTTCATAATAAAACATGAGATTGTCATGTACCAATCAAAACCGGTTTAAAAATGAGAAAAACACATTGACTAACATTCATGAATTACAAATGCCTATCAAAATAGTCATCTTTAATATTAATATTATTATTACAAGTATTCTTATTATATTAAAATAATAAGTCATATAGAAATAATAAGTTTAATTATTAGTATACTTTACTATATATAGTTATAAAAAAATATACTCCTCAAAATAAAATCCGAGTAACTCTAAATAAACTAATCAATATAATTAAGAAATGACAAAGTTAAGCGCAAACGAGGGAGAAAAAATTAATTCACAAAATTTTTTTACAAAAAGTAAAAATTAAGGGAAATCCTCATTCGCAGAAATTTTGTTTTATAATTTTTTATAAACCAATGAAAAGTAAAAAAGTTGTTCGCGTGATCTATGTAGGAGCGAATATTAGTGAGAATAAATTAACAGCGTGACACAAACTTAAATATTGAAAGTAAAGAGCGAAGCATGCAACTTTTAAATTGTGAAAAATTTTAGGTTACATTTTTTTTAAAAATTTTAATAGAATCAATAGCATTTAAAATTATAATTAATATAAAAAAGTAAAAATTAAATTTTAAAGACTATTATTTCTGTAGATGTTATAAAAACGTACTTCTAATTTTTATTTATAAAAATCATGGCAATAAAAGTTGTATATTTAATAAATAAAAGTTTTTTATAGTTATTAAGCTGTAGAAGTTACGAAAAAGTATAAAGTATATCATAAAAAAAAAGATTTTTATAAAATTATTAAATTTGTAGAAATTACATAAACATACTTCTAATAATTATTAAAAGAAGGCAAAAGCAAATTATAAAAAAAAAAATTATAAAATAAATAAATTATAAAAGTTATGAAAACAAATTCTACTTTTTATTTATTAAAGTCAGTAGCATTAAAAGTTTTAATAATAAAGAAGAAAATTATTTTTATAAAAACAATTAAACTGTAGAAGCTATAAAAATGTACTTCTAGACTATCATCAATCCACTCATCCTCGTAGTCGTAGTCATCTTTTAAATTCGTATTTTTGTCTTTATTCTTTTATTTTACGCAAAATTATAACTTTTATTTAAATATTATTTAGAATTATTCAACTAACTTGAAAATTTTTAAAAACTTCACAAAGCATTTCAGTTTCCCCACTTTCCAGATTTTCCTCGAGATGATCAATTAAGGAAAAGTTAGAAGCTTCTTTAAGAGGAATCTCGAGTCTTATGGTTTCACGTAATTCAAAATCTAGAACTTCGCTCTGTTTATAATTAAATTATAGCTTAAAATATATTTATAATATATAATTACTAAAGAAAATTAAAAAAAAATTGTACAAAATTTACTTAAAAGGAAGCATAAGTACACAGAATATACTAACTGCTAAAAAAAATTTAAAAGAGTTAGAAAAATAAATCTAGTGGACTCCTAAGTGGTAGCAGCAAAAAAACTTAAAAAATTTCGGAAGACCTCGCAAAATTAGTTAAAAAACTATAATCACCAAGATTAAAGAATTTATTTGTAGAGTACATTAAATTATTGGACTTGTAAAAATAAAATTGTACAGTTACCAACAACTTTTTGTCATGTCCATCTTCCTTGCTAGACTTTAAAATTCTTTTTTTTGTGCTTTTTTCGGTAACAAAGTCAACTTGTTTTTTAATATTAAGTTCAGGAACTTCATCTTTTGCCTGTAATAATCTATACATTTAGAAACTCAAAGTAATTAAGAAAAGTTTGGCTTTCATAGGTAACCAAGTTTTTAGGACAGGAAAGTTGGTGTTCAGTAATTTTTTGATTAGTGTTACTGTGTTCATGTATGGCCTCTCTTTTTTTACTAGCGTTCTTGCTTTTATCGTCAGCTATATAACTTAGAATTTCTGTAGCATCATTAGCCTTCGTGATCCCAACGTCCTTTGCAAGTGAGACAGTGTCATTAATAAAATTGTTTATGCTGTAATTGTTCAAGCTTGCCTTATCGTCATAAGTAATTTCTACTTGACTATACTTCACTTGCTGAACATTTTTAATATTTTTACAACTTGACTCATCTGTTTCATTTATGTAAGACAAGCCTAAATTTTAGTTTAAAGTTAGTTTACTTGAAGCGGTTTTTATAATGTAGTAAAACTACATAAGCCTTCCTCAGCAAGTTCTGGTGTTGAGACATATTTACCTTCAGTCTTGCAAGTTTCCTCATTAGAACAAACTAAGCTTTTGTTAAACTGATTGTTAATTTTAACAGTTTCATGGAGTAGCTCTGAAGTGTCGTTACTAACATCAAAGCAAATTAACTCAGTTGAAGGCTCTATATGGCTAGTATACTTTTCATTCGTTTCAGGTTCTAAGGATTGCTCACTATCAGTCATTACTTTTATAAGCGATATATATTGCTAAAACTTAAACACTAGATTGTTAACGCTTTCTTTTAGTAGAGTAATTTGAAAAAGAAACTGTTGTATAAAAAAATCCATCCGCGCAGAGATCAAAGTTGTTTCGTTAAACTCTATCCCGCAAGTAAAGTAAATTACATAAAAACTATACACTACGCACAGTAACACTAGTTAGGTACTTAAAAAAAAAAATTTACCCCATTTCCCAAGTATTTTATTTCGTAATAAACATTTGCAGTTCGTATATAATAGTATTACCAGTTTTTAAAACTTCATCTTAAACAACGTATAATTAGTGAACATTACTAAATTTACGGGTCAAGTAATTCTTCTTTAAAAACATGCAAGCAGTACCAATTATAAATCGTAAAATTGCTAAATCCTAAATAAAATTTAAAGTAGTTTTAAGTTTTTCTTGATGTTAATTGCTTCAAATTTTTCTCTTTAACTTCTCCAATTACTATGTAAATTTATAATACTGTTAGAGAAAAACCCTACTTTTTAAGTGTACCCTAATGAAGCACTACGGAAAAGTTGTGCACTCCTATTTTATTATTATAAACAAACCGCAATTGTTGAACAGATTTAAATTAAGTTCTTGATTACGAAAGTTAATTAAATCGATTATAGTAATAATTACAATAAAAAAAGTATCTTCAATAATTCTTACACTCTTTAGAGAGTAAAAGTTATTTTAAAGCTTCTTTCACAAAATATATATCTTCTCTCTATCAACGAAAATAAAAAGATTAAGTTGAGAAAAAAGGAGCAACTTATAGCTCTCATTTTATGTAAAAAATATTGTTTTATAAATAGTATGACAAAATATTTTCTATACTTATAGTTGGGATATTATATACTTTAATAGAAACAAGATAGTATTATGTATTACTTTAGACCTTCAGTGCAGTTTTATAATAACGATCGAAAAGCTGACCTGAAGGAAACCATACCGTCCGATATATACTTCTTCCAAGCTCCCAACCTTCCCAATGTGTATAGGTTTTCTGCCCCTCTTGTTGAGCTTGTTAGTGGATTAAGGCTCTGTTTAAAACTTCTCTAAGTCTCAGTCTTTCCCTATATAAAAGTTTTTATTCAAGTATTATATAAAATAGTTTTATATAAAATCTTTTATCTTTGAATCACACTATATAGATATTTACTTATCTTGTATAGAACCCGTTAGCTTACTTGTAGGCTAAGGTTATTTTATAAATCCACCTTTGAGTCTTGAATAAAATGTGTTTTCATTAATTCAAGTTAAGAACCTTTGGTTTTTTTTATCAATTTTAATTTTTTTATTTATTACTTAAGTAAGGCCCTTGATAAGAAAAATGGAACTCTGTCATAACTTATTTTTACAGGGAGCGATAGCTAAAAGGTAGGAACCATTTTGCTTGAAAAAAATTTACCGTCTTACACTAAATTGGTTTAATAATTTTTAACTTAAACTGCTAAACTTTTTATTTTTTAATTTTTTAATAAAAGATGTACGGCAGAAGAAAAATGGGTTGAACTCGCTAATGAATGTAATGCAATTTTCTCGGTGGAGTATAAACTTGAAGATTACATCAGAGTAGTAAATGCCCATCTTTCTTTTTTATCTTTGGAAATTCGTAAAAATGTTTCGGAGACGAATTTCCATACATATTTAGCTTTGGTGAATTTTTTTTAAGTTAACTTTCATTCCCATTATTTTAATTGTAATAAACAGGTAAACTTGAGGGGAGATGCTTTAACTAAAAAGGCCTCTTCCTATAATTCTAAAGAATTGGAATTGTTTGAAATAGCAGTGAGTCTTGGAATTTCCCAGCTTTTTTTTTTCTGTTTTTATTTATTATTATAGCTTCAATCCATTATTAATTCATCCACTGGTTCTGTTTCTTCTATAGAACTTTTAAATAAAGCTGGTATTTATAAAAAAATTGTATCTTTTTTAATTACTTTTAATTATTAAAGCCAGCGAAAAAAATTGGTTAAAAAAAGAAGCTTCCAAAAGCCTCGACAAATTCGTTGAGGACTTGTGGCTAGAAGATTTTGAGTTCAAACTTTATATGTTTTAATTTTATTATTACTTTTAAAAATGAAAACATATAATAAAGTTATTTTTAATATAAATTAAACTTTGTTTAGCTTATTTAATAAAATCATACACATATTAATAGGGGATCTTTTTCTATAGCTCCGAGAACTTTTATGGAACTACAATTGTACCTTCAAAATTCCTTTCATAATCTTGAATCATGCGCTCTTTGCAGAGATGTTTGCATTAAAGTGCAATATAAATTCTATGCTTATCTTTTTAAATAACCATTTATTTGTTTATTAGTTTATAATTTTAAAACTCTATTCTTTTCTTTTAACTTATTTATTATACCACATAAGATGTAAATTAATTATTTAAGATTTTTGTTTTTACTAAATTTATACTATATAAGTAAAATGGCTATAAGGAAAATTTAATACAAATATAAAGTTAATATAATTTTTTTATTAGGTTGTCATTATAGTTGTTTTGTTTTTGTTTAATTTTTAAAATCTTAACTTGATTTTTATACTTTTATTTTTTTTTTAGTCTAGAATATTTTGTAAAAAAATTAAGCTACTTAAGAAGTTGTGTGATTTCAGGGTAAATCACAAGATTGAATTTGCTACTGTTGAATAATAACAATTTTTTAACTACCTTAGTTATTATTTTAACATTCAGGTATAAATAAATTCTCTACATAAAGTTATCAGAATTTAAAAAGTTTAGTGTATTTATCAATTGGAAACTGACTTTTGCGGGAAAATATAATTTATAAGGCGATCACTTACTAGTAAAAATGATAGGAACGATATAATAGAAAGTTATAAAAATTTCTTTTTAAGCCAACGGCCTTTTTTTAATATGTAAGCCCGACTATTTGGTGCGTTTTTAACAACTACCACTCTACAAAGTTTTTTTAAAGAATTTTGTTTAGTTTGCGTCACTCAAATTTAGTTTATTTAATTAGTAAGAATAAAATAGTTATTCTGATTCCACTATTCTCCAAATGTGGCATATTATGTTGGAAAAATTAATTAAAAGTAAAATATTTTAAAAAATTTCTCCTAATATTTTTTACTTGCCTTATTTTTGAAGTTTATACTTTGTTAAACTTTTTTTCTACTATCATAATATTAAATAGAGGAAAATAACCTGGCAAGAACGAATTATAAAAAAAAAATTAAATTAATTAAGTTTTGCGTTAACGTGTATAGCAGTACACAACCGAAAGTATTAGTGTAGTATTTATCCAACTGTTTAGGCTTTTATAATTTTTAATATATCAGTTAAAGATTGACTTTGGACTACTTTGAAATTATTTTGGCGAAATTTGTAATTCAGATAAATAAAAGTTACTTAAAAAGTTAGTGTTAATATTTTTAATATACTATAACTGCGCTGATCTAACTTTTTATAGAAATCTATATATACAATTTTCAAGATAATGAGCTTACTATTAACTTCTAAGAAAACTTGTTAATTTTCTTTTCTAAGATATGTAATAAGTAGAAATATTGATTATGCAAGCTTACTTTTCTACTTCTATTATAGAGCTATTAAAATGCCTTAAAAGCATATTTAGTAATTAAAATGCTTCTTTTCCTTTTCTTTGTTATATAATAAGATAAAGACTTGTGCAACTTATCATGGTTAAAGCTGTATTTAGTAACATTAAAAGTATTATAGAGACTTCTGCTGCAAACTTATTTCTTTTATAGTGTACTTAAAAAAAAAAAAATTAATAAATCCAAATATTACATAAACATTCTACGTTAAATATATATTAAGTAAATACAACGTAATAAATATAAGATAATTATTGTTGCTACCAATTTTTGTTATGCTGTTTAAAAAAATTTCTCATCGCTTATTTTAAATAGTTTAAATATATTTAAATAAATCATTTATTAAAAAGTTTTAAAATTTTTATTCCGTTGAACTTTTTTTAATTATCTTAGGGAAATTTCTGCAGTTCTCCATCGTGCAAAGTTAAAGCTCATGACTTTTGTATTAAAAAATTTCAGAAATTTTCCAAAAGTGTTATTGTTATTGTTATTATTATTAAATCTTTTATTATTACCAACTTATATTAGGTTCACATCCACGCTGTGTTTCATGCGGCGCTACTTGGCCATGGCCAGTTGTGGGGGAGCCCTTGCTATATAAGAAAGGTGCTTATTTGTATATTATCACCACTTACTGGCTTTTACTCCTTAACCCTAACCCAACCTTATCCTAGAAGCCAATCGGTATGAACTATTGTATATTTATAAAATTGTTTTACACTAAATATTATTAATTAAACCCGTTTTAAAGTAATCAAGTTATAATAATATTGAAACAAAAAAGAAATAGAGGTAACGAATTTTCTAGATTTCTTATTAAAACAAATGTTATAGTAATAATAATCTTTATTTATAAATAAAGTTTATTAAATAATTTATCAATATTGTTATAAATTTTAAGTAACATTAAACGTGGAGAGAATCAAGAAAAGTTAATAATTACATTTGTTGTATTTAGTGTTTAATATTATATATACATATATATTTATATAAAAGTTATAAATTAGTACAAATAAATAAACACAAAGGAAGTTTTGCTGAGGTTTTTCCGGAGGACAGAGTTAGAAGAGTTCGTGTTAAGGAAGAGTAAAGAAAAGAGGACTGCAATCAAATTTTTTAATAAAAAGCAATTTTTTTTAACTTTATATATGCGTCTTAAATTTTTTTAATTTACTATAAAATAATCTTTCATATATATTCCAATAAACCCTTTAGAAAAAACAAAGTATTATTGCTCTAACTTTTGTATATCAGTTATAAATATTTTTTTGTATTAATTTGTTACATACCAATGTTTTTCATTTGGCTTCCGGTTATAATATATAAATATAATTATTGTTGATTGACTTAATACTTTAAGATTTATTATTTATTTTCTATCTAGTACTATTCTTATAAGAAAAAACCAAGAAAGTTAATATTTGTAATTATTTTTTATAACGTAGCAAACGTTTTTTATAATGAAATTTACTAATATAATTTTTTTTTATCTTATTCAAAAAGTATTTTTGAAATTTAGTGTTGATTTAAAAAAACATACAAACGTTGTGCATATGTTTATTAGATTATTATAGTGAGTTTCTTTACAATATTTATAAGTATTTATAAAACCTTAGGTCTTTTATTTTCCTAAGTAACGATTTCTTAAGATTGTTTAAAATGTTATCTATGAAGATAAGCCGATTTTTTCCGATAAATAACATTAAAATAATGAGATTAGCTGGAAATTTATGAAGAGTCGGGGTTACTAAATAAATTTTTTACAATATATTAAACGTAAATCGCTAAATATTTACTTTTTATTTACTTTTTATTACAATTTTATAATACTATTAAAGTATACTTATAGAAAAAATAAAAGTACGTTAAAAATATTATATATGAAAAGGCTATTAATAACTTTTACTTACCTGTACATTGCTCTCGCTAACCTGCAGCTTTTTATTTTCCCACTTATACATGGATGAGAGCGCCGCCGCCTCATATAGTACTTGTTTACATAATTTTTAAGAACCAAACTAAGAAATTAGCACGTGTCTAACAAGCAATAAAAATATCATCGGTTTCCATATATATTTGGTTGGCTTATTAACGAACCACGTGATTCTTATCGCGTATTTAAAAAGTTAAATTTTTCACGTTTTAATTATTATTGGACTTTTAGTATACATTTTTCCTAGAAAAGCTTGTATAAAAACTTTTTTACAATAATTTTTAAAAATCATTTAATATGCATAAAATTATTAAATTTACATATAAAATACGCCCCTATACGAATATTTTGAGAAAAGTTGGATATAGTATTATGAAGGAATTCAAGCTTAAAAATATCTATTAGAAAATTTAGTATAAAATAATGAAGTGTAGCAGTAACATAATCGTCATCGCCTTTGCTCTTATTGTTTTTTTTAAAATGGGCTAAAGCAGCATTGTTGTTGGCTCTTCGATATATTTCTTGAAGGACTGGAGCCACGTGGCGCCTACAGCTCCATCCACCACGCGGTGGTCACAACTTAAAGACACCTTCATGATGTCGGCAACATAAAAAGTTCCTAAACATTAAAATATTGTCACTTTTTATATGAATTAAAAAAAAATAGTAAATTTTTGAATCAACTACTTTTAAGTTTATTTTTACGTTTAGTTAAATTTTAAAAATAATTAGAAACTAAACTTTTACTTATTTTATTAAATAAAATAATAACTTAATCAACTTTATATATTTACGTTAAAATTTGCTTTTTTATTAAATCTTTTAGTACAATTAAAGAAAACAAGAGTTAACAAAAAGCAGCGTTAGCTATAAATAAAACCTATATTTCTTTTTTTCTTTAATATAAACTTTTTAGAACAATATTCATAAAAGTTTGGTTAATAATAAAAACTACGAAAAAATAGAAATATTAATTCGGATATTAATAACTTTATTATATTAAATATATACAAAAGCTTCATTATAAAATATATTTATTTGTACTAATATTATTAAACATTTTCATATTTTTTAAGTACTTCATGCGTTGAATGATTTTGTAATTATGAAATTGTCTATATAATTGTGCACTTCTTTTCATAAAATTTATGAAAAACTAATTTAGTTTCATAGCTTTTCTTAATTATTATTAGTCAAAATTTAAATGATAATATTAAAAAGTATCACATTTCTATTATCTACTAAAAAAAAAAAAAAAATATAAAATATTTAAAAACTTATAATGTTATATAATATCTATTTATATTATTTTCTAATGTATAACCGTCTTCATTGGCCAAAACTTTTTTCTCACGTGCGCCCACCGCCAAAATGGCAGACTGCGGCGGGTTAATAATGGCGGAAAAACACGTGGTCCCGTACATTCCCAAATTGGAAACGGTAAAAGTGCCTCCCTTAAAACAAATAGAAATTCGTTAAAAATATACAATATTTTTCTAATACTAAAACAGTAAACCAATATATATAAAAGTTTATAAAGTAATAATTAAAAAAGCACAAGAAAACTTTAATATTATATTAAAATTAAGTAGTAAACTATTAATATTAAAATTATAATAATATAAAAAAGTTTTATTTAAAGTAAAAATTAATAATATAACAACTAAATGTTTTATAAAAGTTATTAGTATTTTGGAATAAGCTACGCATTATAAAGATATTATATGAAAATATTATGATTACTATTTCGTATACTTGTATAAATGATTATTATTGTTATACCAAATATATGTTTATATATATATATCAAAAGTAATCTATTTTTAAGTATATTTTTAAAGATTATAAATAATATTTAATTTATACGATTTTTAAATTTTTTGTTTTAAAAATATGTATAGAGTTGTTATAAAAAAAAACAATTAATATAAATTATAGCAACTATAACAATATGAAATAAGAATAAAATGAAGATGAGACTTGATATTCGTGAGGAGAAAGTTTGCATGCTCTCGCGCGCGCGGCGAGGTCTTTACTCGCTAAGGAAATTTCTCGTAAGCCCTATAATGCAGTAATAAATATACTAAAGTAAATTAATATATTAAAAAATAAAAAGTAATATTTTTATTATGAAATTACAAGAAAATACGAATAAACAATAATATATTATTAGTTATAATTGTACTAGAGTGTATCAATACTATTTAATATTATTATGGAGTTATAAATAAAACTTTTAGTTATGAATATATTAAAGTAAGTGAATGCTATTTAAAAATATCATTATTATTATAAAGATATTAAAATACTAATAAAAAGATAAACAATACTGAATATTAGTTAAATATACAAAAATGTATTACCACTATTTAACAGAATTATTATTACGGAGTTATTAAAAATATACTAGTAAAAAGATAAACAATACTACTTATTAGTTATAATTAAAGTTAATAAATGCTATTAAATATAAAATATTATACTTTCTATCTAAGTAAATACAATAATAAGAAAAGTTTTCTTGTATTATTTAAGTTTTAGTAATAAAAATAAAAAGATATATAGGAAAAGTTTTTGCAAGTTATATAATTATAACAATATGACATTATAAAAAAAATACTTAAAAAAAAGTAAAAATATATATTTTAAACCTATTCTCTATTATATTTGATTGTTTCCTATTTTACTATTACAATTTTTATATGATTTTAAATATTTTATTGATATAACAAAATGATACACATAAATAAATTATTGAGTAAAAATATTGTATCTATTATTAATGGAAAACTATCTAATATAAATATTCTTTATTTCAAGAAAAAAATGAATTATATTAATTTTATTATAACTATTCTTTGTTGTTTTTCATTTCAAAATAAAAACTGTTTCTTTCAATATTTTATATAAATTAATAAAAAATTATTTATTACTAATTACCTTTATTATACGTATTACAAACATTTCAATGATATACAAAATAATCCTCAAAAATTTCAATTTTTTTAATTTTCATTATTTATTTTTTTTTATAAATAAAAAAATTAAAAAAATTGCTCTTTTAAAATAAATGAAGCTAATATATATAATTAAATTACATAAAAAAAACGATATCCTAATAATTATTGGAGAAAACTCATTATAAAACTTTAATTAACTGAAATCAAACGAAGCAAATATATAAAATGTAAATAATAATATAAATTTTACTTTTTATAAAAAATATTTGATAAAAAACTTTAACTTATTTTACAGATACAATAATATATTTTAAAAAAAGAAAAATTATAAAAAGTTAATACTTGAAGTTTTTTAATTTATGATTAAATACTTATGATTTATATAAATCATAAAAGTAAAAAGGTAACAGAAACACTATAAAAATATATATAGTAAAAAAAAAATAATACAAGAAAAAATAATAACTAAAACCAAAAATACAGGTACAATAATAATAATAAGTAAAAAAAACAATTTATATAATAAAATAAATAATAATATTATTTTAATCATGAGTTATTATTATTTAATATATTTATATTTATATATATGTTAAGGGTTAGGATCATATATATGTGTATATATAAGATTAACTACAAGGAGAGCTAAAACAAATATTGTAAAAAAAAAAACTTTTTGATCAGCTGAAGTAATAAAAGGAGTGATCAGCCCCTTTTCAGTGCTGACTGCAATGCAAACATCCACATGTTGATATTCTCGGATGTAATCTCCTAATAAAGTTAAAGAAAAATAAAAATAATTATAAAAATATTAAAAAAAAGTTAATAAAAAATATTTATATAATATTTAAAATAGTTAATAAAAAAATTAAAAATATATAAAAGTTAAAAAAAAATTTTATATAACAAAAGGAATTTAAATAAGAAAACCTTATATAATACATTTCACAAGTTATTTATTAGTTCATTATAAAAATAATGTAAGTATATTTAAATAAATATTTTCTTAATATTATTTTATTATTTTATGACAATAATAAAGGACTTGAAAAAAATATATTAAAAAAGTTAAAAAAGAATATCTATAAAACTATATAAAAGTTAAAAAAAATTAAAAAAAAATGATTATATAAATAAAGATATAAAATTTTTTAAAAAATATATCTCATAAATATTTTAATTAGCCCTCAAGATATTATAAAAATAATATTTTTAATTAATATTATATTAGTTTAAATATTCTACTAAAGCAAAAAAAAAAGTAAAAAAAGCGTTAAATAGAAAAATATATTAAAGTTATAAGAATATCTATTAAATAGCAAAAAGGTATTTAAAATAAAACTTGTAAAAATTTTTATAATACAGTTCAAAAGTGAGTTATTAGCCCATTTAAAAAAAACCGAAATATATCAATGTAATAATAATTTATTTATAATTATTTTATAAAAGTAAAAAAGTATACTTAATAGAAATATTAATGGAAAAGTGTTATAGAAAAGAACTAAAGAAATACATAATGTTAAAAAAATAATTATAGAAAAAAATTAGTTCATATCAAAATAAATAATTAATATTATATTTATACAAATATTAAAAATTATTATTTTATTAATCTATTAAAGTAAAAATAAACAAAAAAATAAATATTAAAAAAAAAAAGTTAAAAAATATAAACGTCAAAGAAATATTTTTTATATAGCAGAAGATATATTAATAAAAAACTTAGAAAATTTTATATATAAGAAAAAAATTTACCAAAAATTATAATAGCAATTATTATATTTCTTTATTAATATTATCTTATTTTTGTTTTAAAAAAATCAAAAAAAAATTTAAAATAAAAAAGATATTTATTTTATAGCAATAAATTTTTAAATAAAAAAAACTTCTTCATAAAGTTTTTCATTAGTTCATATTAAATAACGAAAATATATTATTTATAATTTATTAATTATAATTTTTTTCTTAGCCTTAATATTTTAATAAAGTAAAAAAAAATTAAAAAAAACACATTATTATTAAATAAAATGAATAAATATATTAATAACTATAAAATATATAAAAGATCCCTTTCACAACCAGCAGAATTAAACGCAGATAAGTAATTTTTTTTATTAATAAATGAATTTGAAAACTTCTTTTAGAATTTCATTATAATTGTCGTGCTTAAAACTTAATGAAATAAAATATAATTTTTTAATTGTTTTTTTAGTTAATAAAAGTAAAAAATAAAAGAAAATTAAAAATATTCAAAAGTTGGTATAGAAAAAAGAAATACTATTGAAATACATAAAAGTATAAAAAAAGTTTACAGGAAAAGTTATAAAAAATTTATTATACTTTTAAAAACAATTTATTTGTATATTAAAAATAATTAAAAATAAGTTTTTTATTAATATTCTATAATAATTTTCATTAGTATTTTTATATTAGTTCATATTAATTATAATAAAAGCTTTATAAACTCCTTTTTTTATAATAAATAAAAATAAAAATATAAAATATAAAATATAAAATATAAAATATAAAATAATATTTTTATAACAAAAAAAAAGTAAAACTAAAAAGTTGTATTAAAAAGTACATCAAACTTTATCACATAAAATATATAAATTATGCTTATTATTAACACTATTAGCAATACTTAATAATTACCAGTGTCATTGTATTGGTAAGTAATATAAATAATTTATAGTTATTTAAACTATTTCTTAATTTTCCTTAAATATAATTACATATATAAATGTATTATTATTATTATTATTATTATTATTATTATTATTATTATTATTATTATTATTATTATTATTATTATTATTATTATATAAAAGTTACCCATCCACGAAGAATTACAAGCCGGAACTTCCTTGCATGCTAGAGCAGAAGCCTGTAAAATACAAGTAAATATAAAAAAAATAATACTATGATATAAAAAAAGTAAAAGTATAATATAAATAACAATAAATATTAATAATAATAAATGCAAATATGAATAAATAACAATATACAAAGATATATAAGAAAAAGGAAAAATCAACACCTACTGATAAGAATGTAATATTATAATAAAATATGAAACAATTTAAATATTATATATAAAAAATAAAATAAAAATAAAAAATATAATATATAGAATTAGAGTATTATTAGTGAGTAATAAATAAATATAGTATAATTAATGAAAATTATACAATTAATTTTTTAAAAAAAATTGAATCAATATATGAAAGTAAAATAATTATAAAAGAAATTTAATAAAAAAAGTATATAATAAAATAAAAATACTACATTAGCCAAATTATAAAAAATGATTACTTAAAAAAATGTTATTCAATTAAAAATACATTTCAAGTTTCAATATAAAAAAATATTGTATAAAAATATAAAAAAATGAAAATATTTAAACAAATAAAGAAAACTAAAAACAGTTGAAAACAGAAAAAAGTTTCTGAAAAAGTGTAAAGGGTATAATAAAACTACAAGAAAATGTATAGTGAAACAATACTCTTTTTTAATAATAGTTTATAGTTGACTTTTTTTTTAAGTATTTATTATTAAATTAGTGTAATTTATTTAAAAAAAATTAATTTCAATATCTATAATATTTAATAACAAAATAAAATTGTTAATAAACTTAAAAAAGAAATAAATATAAAATATATATTAATAAGTAATGTATGGTGGATATTATAAATATTAGGGTAACAAAAAATTATTGATAAAAGTTAATAATAATGAAATATATATTATTATTAAAAAATTAAATAATAACAATGAAACAGTAATTATTATAGTAGAAAACTGGTACTTTAGATAATCAATAGTTACTGATATATTAAAACTATAATATAAAAGTTTTCTTATTTGCAAGAAAAAATTCATTAAAAAGTTATTAATAAAAAATCAATAATTATAAAACTATAAAGATTATAACAAATAAAAAAACCATTGAATAATTATTTTTTACAGTTTAAAAAGAAATTTATTAGAAAAATTAGAAATTTTATTAATACTAATAATGAATTAAATTAAAAAAAAAGTTTTACTATAAATAATACGTTTGCATTAAAAAAACTTCTAGTGATAAAAAATTTTTATAAAATCCATAAAAGTTTTATTATAAAAGTTAAAGAATAATAAAAAAAAGTTTATATATATAATTTTGTAATATTTTAATATATAAAAAGGTTTAATATTTTCTTATTTGCAAGAAAAAAAATTCCTTAAAAAGTTAATTACTAATGAAATAAATAAAATAAAATTTAAACTATAAATACTATTATATAAAACTTTTACAAATAACAATCAAAATCAATAAAACTATCTAAAAACAAGTTTTCTCATTAGCAATAAAACAAATTCAATAAAACTTAAGTTTTTAATAATAGTAAGTAAATAAAACATAGTATAAAACTTTTTAATAATAATCAAAATCAATAAAACTATTGAAAAAAATTTAAAAAAAAATAAAATTACCATAATTAACGCAATGAATAAGAGTATTCAAAAATAAAAAATTATTATTGTGAAAATAAACTATTAAACAATTTTTACTTTAACAATGAAGTCATTAATAGAAAGTTTTGTTTCATAAGCATCCATAAAAGAACTCCGAAGCCTCAAAATGATAGTAATAAGTAAATAAAAATATAATAAAAAACCTTTTCGCTATAAAGTTTTATAATATAAATAATAAAAAGTTATAAATTAATACTTTATTATAAGCAAAAAAAAATTTGTATTATAGTAAAATGTATGATTAAGAATAAATTAAAAAAAGAATACTTTTTATATTATAAAAATAAGCTAAAAAAGTTTGTATAAAAACAAACAGAATAAAACTTTTTTATAATGAAATAAGTAAAAAAATATTATATATAAAATAACGAAAAAAATAAAATATAATATACTTTTTATAATAAAAAAATAATATAAAATAAAATACTTTAAAAGTTTATCTAAACTGACTTCGCACGTCAAATAATAATGAGGAATTGCCGTTTTCGACTCAACAAGCCGAGCAGAAATAGTTTTGCGCATGCTCGTTAACTCAAATAATAAAAAAATTCATAAAAATTAAATATATATAAAAAGAAAATTAAAATAACAAATATTGTAAAAGGAAGGATTTAAAAAAAAATAGAAATATACAAAACTAATGATTAGAATAATTAAAAACTATAATACATGTTATAAAAATAATATAAACTTTAACGGAAAAAAAGTTTTTTGTAATAGAACTGCAAGAACTTTATTTAAATTAACAATAATAACAAAAGTTTATTAGTACTTTTACTAAATAAATAAATAAATAGAACTAAAATAGAAAAGTTAATTGTTATTATGAAATGCTCAAGTTTATTTTTTTAATGCGAAAAACTTTTTTATAAAATATTTCATAAAAGTAAGAAAATAAAAATTTTTTATTGTTTTATTATAAATTTTATATAAAAAATTATTTCATTTTTTTAATAATACTTTTCCCTATTTTAGCTTTCATCAATAGAGAAAGGAAAAGTTAACAAACTATAAACTTCTTACTTTTTATAACTTTATCAGGTACATTCAAATTTGTCAATTTGGTAGGTTCTAATGTAATAAATTATTTATTGCCGCTTGTTATTAATTTTTTTATATTATTGGTTCCTTTTAATTAAAGTGTGTCAATTAAAGGTATCAATCTGGTAAGTTTTATTAAAAATGATCAGTTATTCGATTTAAGCTCGTTACCGAATCGTCCTTATCGGTAACTTTTTAGGTATTTTTTAAACTCTATTAGGTATTTTAAAGGTAATTTGGTCACCCGTTTATAAGAATTTTGCTATTATTAAACGTAGAAACTTTCACATATTTAGTATTTTTATTTACTATTATTATTTACTTTTATTATCATGTATTTTTTAGTATTTTTGTTAATTTTTTTTAATGTTTGCAGTTTCAACTATTTTCAAATATATTATAATTTTATTTTTCTATCTTTCTAAAACATTTGTAAAATGTAGGAAAAACGTTTTTTTTACCAAATTATATTTTATTGATATTTATAATTACGCTATAATAATATTAAAAAATTGACTTAAAAACTTCTCTACCATTATGAAAGTAAAGTATTATGCATAGAAATTCGTACAAAAAAAATAAGTTAAATAAAAAATAAAATAATAAAAAATAACAAGTAATAAAATATAATGAATACTAAAAGATAAAAAAAAAAGGGTGAAGCTTATAATAATATTTCATTCCAATATTTACTTCAAGATCAGAATAAAAAGAAGCAGAGGAAACTTTCGAAGAAGTTTTTGAAGTATTTATACTTTTCAAAACATCGTCTGCTATAATCGCGCCGTTAGGGCCGCTGCCTGAAAAATTAATGAAAAAAAAATTTTTTTTGAAAGTTTCTTGGTTCTAGTAAAAGTTTAATATTACTTTTATTAGCATTAATAAAATTTATTTATATATAAAAGTTTTACTTTATATAAAATTAGATAAAGAAGGGCTTCCTTTTTAAAAAAAATTTTTATAATAATTATTAAAGATTATTAAAGATTTTATTGGTGCATATTATTATTATAAAAGTTTTACTTTATATGAATTTTAAACAAAAAAGTTTATTACTATTATTTAAATATAAATTAAAACTAAATTTAAACTTTTTTAAAGAAAAATCTAAAATAAGAGTTTATAATTAAAAAGTTTTAATATTTTATAAATTATACTTCGCCCGACTACTAATAACTGCGGCCACTGATAATAATTTAGCAAATTTTAGAGTAAATTTAATTATTAAAACTAAAATTAAAAAAACACAATTATAAAAAAATTAAAAACAAATCAACACCAGATATGGAAGAAAGTAGAAGCCGAAGGTTTTCTGCCAATTTTTTAGCGAAAGGCGAGGCGCCTACGTGGCCATCCTTCGTCTTCTCAGAATCTTCGGGAGAAATTTCTTTAACAGGTTTAAAAAAGTTTTGAGTAAAATCAAATTAATAATATAATTAGTTTATAAGTAAAATTGAAACTAAAATAAAACTTATAAGTAAAATTAAATATTTTTAAAATAAAATCAAACTTTCCTTTTACTTAAAGACTTAAGTAAATTTAAAAATACCATAAATTTTAATTAATCATACAAGAAGTATATGCGTTTCTATAGATTCGCTAAATAATTTATTATAAAAAAGTTAATAATTAAAGTGTAAACCATAAAAAAGACTAGATTCAAATTTTTCGACGATATTTTTAGAATTTTACCAAAAAATTAATTTCTAAAAGGAATTAAAAAAGTTAAACTTATATTAATAAATAACTAACTTACAAATCTCCCATTAAAAAATACTAGCGAAAACTAAATTAAGTTTCAATTATTAAAATCTTTAATATTAAATTTATAAAGTATGAAAAATATATCGTAAAATCATATAATTATTTTATAAATTTATTAAGGAAAATTTTCAAGTATAATATACTAATTAAAAAATTCATAAAAAGTAATTAATGTTATTGTAAACTTCTACGTATTATAATTCAATTATAATTTTAAGGAATTTCATATAAATAACTGTATTTAAAAAAAAATTAAAAATTTTAATTAAACCTATTTAAAGAGAAACAATTTAAAACTGATTAAAATTTATAAACTGCAGTCATTTTAGCTAAACAAATCTTAGAAAATTTAATAATAAATCTAAAGTACTAAAAAAAAATTGACAAATTGGTGTAAAAATTTCTTTAACTCAAAGTTATTAATGTTACACAAATTTTATAAAAAATTTTTCAGAACTAAAATAATAAAACTAAAAAAATTAAAAACAATCCAAATTTTTTTAACTTATAATATTAATGGCAAACAAACTTGAAAAAAAATACTAAAATAAAAAAAATAAAACAATCAATGCAAATAAAATTTTACAGCTCAACTTTATATATAAATACAAAAATTAATGTAAATATTTTTAAAATTAAAATACCCAATTAAATAAAATTAAAAACTAATCAAGGCAAAATTTTACTTTTTTCTTGCTGCTCTTTAAATTCTTTCTTTTCTTTGGGCTTCTCAGAAGAATCTTCAGACGACTTTTCTGCTTCAGATTTCGAATCTTTTGAAGATTTCCGATCTTCAGGCTCTTTCTCGGTTTCCTTGTACTGAGAAAAGGCTGCAACGTCATCTTCCTTTTCTACCATAATGCATAAGGGAGTCTGAATAGGGAGATCTTTTTCTCCTTGTAGTTTCTAATAGAAATAAAATAGGACCAAAAGATTATTATCTAAAAAAAATTATATAAAAACTGTATAAAAAATTGTAATTTCATGGTAATAAGGTAATTATATTATTAATAAAGAGTTAAAAATTTTAATAAGTAACTAGTTATATTAGCTACTAACCAAAATCTTAGCAAGATAGCCATCCTCGCTAGCCTCAAAACTCATTGTAGCCTTGGGAAAATTAAATTAAATTTAAATAATCTCACTAAATAAGAATTTTCTAATAAATTTTATATTATACTTTTACCATTTATAAAATTATAAAAAACCTTATCTGTTTCAATTTCAGCCAAGACATCGCCGGCGTTTACCCTATCTCCTTCTTTAGCAACCCACTCTGCAATATTTCCTATATTTTAAGCAGTAAAAGTAATTTAAAAGCTTACTGATAATAATATAAACTTCACCTTGCTTCATCGTGGGAGTTAAGGCTGGCATCTTTATTTTTTTATGCTCAGGGTAGCTTGCATAGCTTCGAAGAAAGTATCTTATGAGATGTTAGAATAATGAAGGCAAATTTATATACTAAAACTAAAAAACTCCTTTATTTAACCTTATATAACTTCTGGTAGAGTTAAACGGTAGGCAAAGTGCTGATTTTAGCCTCGTGAAGTTTTTCAGTGAAAAGGTCATAGCAAAAAAAACTTTTTTTTTGTTCACTATCAAAATATTCAATCTTTATATGGACGAGGGCTGTTGGACAGATCATTTTTTAGGCTACGTTACACAGCTAAAATTTTCTTGAGTTTTCATAATTCTCACTTTCCTGACTGAATTGGAAAGTAAATAAAGTGATTCCTCATAATCCTTTGGCATTTTTTTAGGATTTCAAGCTTAAATTATCGACATGGTATCTAAATATTAAAATTTGAACGTTTTGATTTCAGTGGTTCTATTTTCACAAACCTTCAGATCTATTAATCCATTACTGTTTTCATCGTAACCCTTTTTTATAAAATTACATTCAAGAAAATAAAAGTCAAAGACTTAAGGTTAGTCGCGGGTGTCCGTCCTTTATTCTGATCCCATTGTAAGGAGTTGACAAAGATCTTACCAGTTAAATACTTATAGTAAATCATTACTGTTCGTTCCATCTACAGAATCATTTATTTTAAAAAAACTTTAAATAATGTGTGTCGAGAAAAGTTGACGACTTTAGTAAAGTAATGTGTATTGATTCGTTCAAACCGCTAAAACTAGTAAAAAAAAGTTAAACTCAAAACTGTGGACTTCTAACGTCTAAGTTCCAGTTTTAAGACTGAGACATTATAAATGACGTAACAGCGCATAAGACTTTTAGTCCACAAAGGATAGTAGTGAAATTAACAAATTTAACAATGGCTTTGAAAAATTTATATAGTTCGTAATTAGTAAGGTCTACATTTTCTATATATATATATATAACCTATAGTACTCAAATAGTAAACCCAGTGGTTGTGACAATCAGTCTTTAAAGTTTTGTATACAGTAGTAGCCTTAGTTTAATCTTTTGCTCTTTTTTTCTACTTTTTCAGTAGACAGCTTACTTATAAAAAAGGAAATATTTAAAGAAGTGATAAAGGAGGGAGCTAAAATCAATAGATTGCTCTGCGCTTACACCTCAACGACGATAATGGAGATGAACGAGTTATATGCAACCAAAAAATGCATAACGTGCTCCTTATCTCCTTAATATTGTTCGTCAGACCTTTATATAAAATTGTAACTTTTAATAAAATTAATAAAATCCCTCCCGGATGACTAACTCACAGCTTTTTCACTCCTAAATACCAATAAAACGCATATTCTTTTTTTTTTAAGCATGGAATACTCCGGTCAGCGCTAAGCTTTAAACCCGCTTAATCTGAATTCCTCTCCTCCGAGAAGGGATAGGACGCCCTCCAGTGCATTCTCCCGAAGGAGCTTCATGACTGAACCTAAGGACTTGGGAACCGTATATCTGCTCCGGACTATTAGAATTTTGTTTAGGGGAGTTGTACACGTAAACCACCATAACAGAAAAATGCGGTTAACACCGAAGGGATCGAATTCGCGACCTTGAGATTACGCGAGAAGGCTCTAACCGAGCTATGATGACAACTCACATTTTCGCTCGCTAAATTACGTATACAAATTTTTTACGGGCTTCCGTCAGGAGAGTAACCCTCAAGTACTAGACCAGCCAGCCAAGCGCCAGCCAAGTCTTCCCAGTAAATATACATGATTTCCATTTGCTTGACTTCTCAAGGGAAAGCACGTGGATGTGGAAGCATAGACAACACCGAAACTTAGTATCCGTTCCTTATCTTACAGAACTGTGGAGCCTTCTTAGTGTGGATATCTTATCGGTCACTGTAATGTTTTTTATCACATTTTATCGCTTTTTTTTTGGAAGTTATTTCCGAACACATGTTTAAAGTGATACATGTTTTGAAGCGAGACTTCCTATATTAAACTATAAAAAAATTCTACTATAAACAACTTTTGCAAAGTTAGTTAACTTGTAAAAGCTACATAGTAGTGTATATATTTCTTAAGAAAACTTTATATAAATAAAGTTTTTTAATCCTTTATATTTTTTATAAAAAAAAGAATGGGTAAAATAGAAGAAATTTCCGAGGAAGAAGCTAGAAAAATTAGTGAAGAACAACTTGAAACAGTAAGTAGTGATGAAGATTGGGAAGATGTAGAGACTTTTGAAGAAAAATTTGAGGCTTTAAAGGTCTCTTTTGTGATACTAAAAATTCTAAGTCGGCCTTAATTTTCTTTTATAGGAACTTATCCCTTTTACTATCAGGAAAACCTTTTGTAATGCTTTCTATTCAGTAAAGCAACATTTTTTTAAATCACTGCGCGTAGCGGGAACAGCGGCTTGGTTTCTTTCTTCTACTGCGATATTTGTAGTTTTACCGGTTCCTATATATTTATACTTTTTATTTATTTCATTTATTTATTGTTTAGAAGGTTGATACTATAAAGTGTTATAAAACTATTATAATAGAAATTTATAAAACTTTTATAATTAAAAATAAAGTAGTTATTTTAATTTCGTTTATAAACTTTTTTGGTGAATTACGTTTAGTTAGATTACTTTTTATTTAATCTGGTAGGTTCTTTTTTTTGCTGAAGAGGAAAATCATTTTGAGGAACAATTGCAGGAACATAAAGAAAGACTTAAACGGCAACGATCGGTTTACTTTCTTGTTTTATTATAATTATTATAAATTAGTTTTAATTTTAAAATATTATAAATTTATCATTCCATTATAAAAATATTTTGTGTATATAATTATTTTGAATTTTTTGCTATCTTTTTTTTTCTTGGGAACTTTTAATTATTACTTGTTTATTTTACGTATGCACTTTTTTATAGAATATCAAGAGATTAAGTTTCTTTTTCAGTTTTCATTCTATTTCCTATACAAAATACCTTTTTGAGGGTATTATAATTATTAAAAAAGTTATGTCTATTATATAAAATGAATAGTGAAAATTTACTTTTTTTATATATATTTTTGATAAAACGCTTAGAAATTATGTTAAAGAAGTTTATTTAATATTATGAAAAAAAATTACTTTTTATTTTCTAAAAATTTTTTTTTCCTATTTTCTTATTTTGATTTAGGGACTACTTAAATTATTTAATAAAATGGAGTGCGTATCTTAAAATTTTATTCCTTATTATTAACTTTATATTAACTGATTTTTTTGAGTGTTTACTTTTTTATTTCTTTATGATTTTTTATATTGAGTCCTGGAATATTTTTGGATTGTACAACTATTTCATTTTTTAAAACTTCGTTTTATTTTATTCTTGTTTTAGTAGTGCAAAATTCGTCTTAATAATGTTAATTTAAACTTTATTTTTATACTTATAATATATACATAATTATTATATACTGCGCAAATTAGTAGACAATATTAGTTTATTATAAATACTTTTTAGAATTTTTATCTAATTTTTTAATTAAAATTGTAAAACTATAATTTGAGATGCATATTTCATATTTAAATAAACGTTTTTTAATTAGATTGGTTATTTTTTAAAAGTTGAGTTAAGAATAATAATAATAAAAGTTAAAACATTGTTATTAATATAAGTCATAAAAACTTAAAGTTGGAAATTTTTTTAAATTTAATTTTTAATTTAAATTTTATATAATGTAAAATTTTTTTACGAATTATCTTTTTATATACTAAATAATAGTTATTGCATCCGGATCTCTATGATCTTCCTAAGGTTGATATCCCGGCTCCTCATTTTTAAAGCTATAGATTTTCTATTTATAATTTTTATCAAACAGTCAAGTAATAAAATCTTGAATTTATTTATATTTATAATTTTTAATTCTTTAAATTTATTTAGATTTACAAAAAAACTTAAGTTTTTGTAGGTTTCTTATGTTATGGCACGATATTCTGAAAAATAAAACTATGAGAAATGAGTTATGAATTAGGCTACCTGAGTTTTTGCAACTTTTTTTTTTTAGGTTTTAGCTTTATTCAACTTTTTTGAATTTGGTAAATTTATTGTTAAAAATTCTCCTTAAAAATTTCTTAAGTTAAACGTTCAAGCTCAATATTTATGTCAAACGAAATATTCTCAGGCAAATCGCAAGATATACTGAAGGTTTATATAGAAAAATGGGGCAGTACAAAATTAAAATGATTTAAAGTAAAGTGAACACAAATTTTATTACTGTTTTACAATGACAGAACGGTAAATCTTAAAAAAAAAGTGTAAATAATGCGTTCATTGTAAATACTTTTTACCTCATGAATAAATTACTTGACTTTTTATTGGTTAAAAAATCTGGTAGTAAAGTTATGCAGGTAACTAACGCATGGTAAAAGCACGTGTTATTTCTCCTATTTACCACGTGCTTGTTTTTTGTACGTAAATTAGTCTTTCGGAGGTATACACACTTTTTCTCAGGGACCGCCAATTTTGTGTAATCACGCAAAAGACCATCAAATTTTTAGTTTATGACTTTTGCAGAAAAAGTGTTTTATCTTAGTTTTGCAACGAGTCTTAGCTTTGCTTACTTTATTATTCCAATAGTAACACTACGCTGAACAGCTGACTTGTAAAAGTTCTGATCAGGCGGTGTTAATTTTAACTGCTCTTTTTTTTTTGTACAATAATATTTGTTATTAATATGCTTCAAAAAAAATTAGGTATTTTAAAATATATTAACAAATTGCGAAGTTACTTTTATACTATAAGAAGCTTTAACTTGTCTTAAAAAAAATAATAATAGATAAGTGTAATATAATTACCTAGAAAACTGAATCTAAACGTTAAGTTGTGCGCAATTCACTTTGAAGGCTCCTGGGCTCCTCGTAGGTCATTGCTTGATCGAACTAGTCCAGAGGGCTTAAAAAAACTTTACTTAAAGTACGTTATTTCCTAGAAAATGGTCATGTTCTACTCGCACCTTAAACCGACTTAGTAGGATGAGATGTAAGAATTAAACAAGGCTTACTATATATAAACGTGTAAAAAGTGTGTTTATGTCCTCCGCGGTAGTTGAGAAACCAGGGAAATAGAGTCGTAGTGTCTAATTAAATACAGGTGAGTTGAAAACCGGAGAAAAAATATAAAAGTTTTACGAAAAAGCCAAACTCTCTGTCTGTTGCTTGGAATTGTTATAATAGACGGTAAACCGATTATAAAAATCAATATATAAAATAACTAAAGCGGTAAGAATTGCAATACTCGGCTATTGTCAATATTATATTACAACCATTAAGTTCACAAATATAACACTGTCTTATGAAAAGACGGCGACTTTATCAATTTAAGTAAGAAAATCACAGCAGCAAAGTAACGAAACAAAAGTTTTTTTTAGTTTTATTTTGCTTTATTCAATTCCAAAAGATTAAACAAGAAATCAATATCTGTTCGTTTCTATCATGCGTCTTCCTGCCATTATCGTTCTTATGCATTCGCGACACCGAGATCTTTATAAAGTGTTTTTTGTAATTAAAAAATTTACTTTATTTATTTACTTGCTGAAAGAATACCTGTTTTTAGGGTAAAAACCTTTTGTTACTTCTTTAAATTCTTTACAAGCTAAGCATTGATAAAACTCTTCATTTCCTTGTTTGATCCTTTCCTGTTGATCGTGAGCAAGAGTACCCGAATAAAATTTAGTAAGATTATTTTTATACTTGACTTGCTCGCTCTTTAACTGTATGACGCCGGCGTCGTAAATTCAACGCTGCCACTTTATTATTTTTTAAGAGAACATCCTCAGCTGGTCCGACCTCACTTTCTTTTAAATTCCTAGCAGATGCAGCTACCTTGTGCACGTTAACTTTTCCGAAATTTATTTCTTTTACATTTGAACTTGTTATGTTAGATTTATAACTAGAACTAACTTCTTTTTCTGTAGTCCTCGAAAGAGAGGAAGTAGTTTTATTATTAGTATATAGCGAGGGGGAAGAAGTAACTCGTTGCAAAAGCGAGGGTGAGCCAGAGCTACATCGCTTATTTTTTATTTGAAGGGAATCTATATTAGGCGAAGCTTTTTTGCTCTGCAAGCCTTTCATATTGGTTGTGGGAGTCGCTGTAGAAAAAAGATAAGCAGAATTTCGAGTTTTGAATTTTTTTTGCTGAAGGAAGAAATTGGCTCGAGCTCTATTACTTTGTAAGTGTTGTAAAACTTGTTGATGCTCTGCACGCCGTCGTCTTTGAGGCTCAAAAATGGGCTTTCCTTGTCGAACTTTAAGTTTGATCCCATACGTTTCATCCTGTATGGAACGTCCAAACATGGGATCTACGACATCTGCACTGTCCATTCTAGCAATTTTCTGGATATTTCTACTTAAAATAACGTTAAAATAAACAAAAATGTGAGTCTGAGCTATAAAGCAAGGTGGAGAGAAAAAAAATTAAGATCAGTAATTATATTTATTTTTTTAAAAATGGCGAAGAGATATTCAATAAGTTTTAGCAAAAAGATAAATTTTGACGATAACTTTTTTAAAACAGCTTACAAGTTCAATATCTCTCCTAACACTGACGAAGGAGGTTGGGGTTGGTAGCCGGGAATGTAAAAAGCAGATTCTAATATTGCATTCAAACTTATTCCTTGTAAGCTAGCCATGATATAAAGGTAAAGGCCTTCTTTAAGGTAACCCACCGCAAGTAGCCCAGTAAAATTCGTAAAAATTTTAGATAGGAAAAGTAAATTTTTTGAACATATCTTACTACTACGTTGATGAGGGTTTTCAAGGAGCGCCCCCCTTTTTTTACCCCTTAGGTACTGGTTACTATGTATATCACTTACCGCCTAGGTTCAACTTGCAAGAGTAGGTCTACGGAAACCGACCCCAATGACAGGCTCGATCTCTAAAACAATCTCCGGTAAGTTTGAGTACCATGTCCTAACGGATTAGGCAGCAATAACAAAACGTAAAAAAAAGCGCTGAATTTAATTACCAGTGAACGCAAAATCCATTTTAAGTCCCAGAGTTTTGCCCGTTAAAGGGTTAAAATTACTTATCCTACAAGGATTCTACTTGTATTGTTTTCCACACCAGATATTGCTAATATATAAATGTTTAATTCAAAGCAGAGAAAAAATTAATTTAACTAAGCAAGTGTTAAGAACAGACACAGAAAAGCTAATCCCTTATAAATTTTTTGTTCAATTACAAGGTTTACGCTTTGTAAAATTATATAAATTATTTGTCAACTCAAACATACGCAATTTCTTTAACTATTGTTTTTTCTGCGGTGGCAAAGATATAATAATATAATATTAAAAATACTTTAATCTTTGCAAATGGTTATTCAGCACTATTGGTAATATCGTTGTCCGGTTAAACAAACACTAAAATCAATTAGTTGGTTTAGATGCTTTGTAGCCCCTTGACAACTCTAGAAGTTTGAGCCAGGAGTATATATGGAACTCTAACATTTCGACGAATCAGGACTAAACGACGTCTTTCACAAGTATTTTTAAAAATAAAAATGAAAATGTCCAGAAAGTTTTGAACTGTAAATAAGGTAATATTACTCTTCCAAAGTCTTCAGTTTATAAATTAGATCAATCTCGTTCTTCAAAAGATCTGCTTGTGGTGCGAGTTAACATAATTCTCAGCATCTGTTTGATCACTTTAATAATAGCGTTCTTCAGCAACTATCCGATTCTTATTATTCCTAGCTCTGACTTTAATAAACTTTTTTTTTTTTTCATTAATACATTTCCAAAATTTTCCTACGGATTTTATAAGCCCTCACAGGACTAAACGTATATGCCAGTGAAAAAAAAAGTATGGTTAACATCTTTTTATCTTTACTCCACGTCATCTTGCTTAATATTGTCCTGTCCTTTGCGGATTGTTAATATTGACTGACGTCGGCAGAGAGGTTCTTTGATATTACTTAGGCACTAGATTAAGTCTGGACTAAAACGATAAATGTCTTGGAATTTAAGTTAAAGTTAGTTATATATATTAATAACAGTTCAAAGCAATACTAGACTTTAAATTGATTCGAGTACTTCAAAAAATTTTCATCACGAGTTTATAAAATATTCATTTAACCACACTGATAAAAACATTTTTTTTGTTTGCTTTGTTCGCTTTCTTCAAAAGATATATGACTTCTAAAAACTCAAATGCCAATTTTATTATAAGGTTTACTACTAAACTTTTACGTTCCACACCTCAAAAGCGATTTTCCAACAATTATGTCCCTTCACCCTAATTTAACGTCTAAAACCACCTGAAGCAAAAGAAAGCCATCTAGAAACTGTTAGCATGTCATAAAATACGCGTAAATTTTGAGTATCAAATAAGAATCATATAAGGCAAAGTCAATATTTTGGGTTTTTCACTGCCGACTTTTATGTAAGTGTTCGCTGCCTAGGGAAATTTCTCCTTTTACCTTTCCCCCTATTACCATGGTGCTTTGCAAAACGTAGTTGCTCTTAAGAATTCTCTTTAAAATTAAAAACAACTAAAAAATATAAAAGGCTCTGATCCCTACAACACGAAAATCTGTAAATTATTTTAACTGTGGGCAAGCTAAAAAAAAATACCATGATTACTATATTTTAATAAATCGAAGCTTTCCTTCAACCAACAAGAAAACTATAAAATATGAGGCGTTTTCCAAAGTAGAGCCGAAGCTTCACCTTCACTTTTGTTATCCGTGTGGCTATCACCTAAATTAGTGTAACCAAAAGAGTTTGTTTAACTTGAAAACAATATATATGGCCAAATACTTATAACTGGTGAAATTGTTCTCTGTGCTTGTTAAAGTTATAGTTTCTTTGACGTAACTCTTTTTAGGGCTTCATTCTTAATTTCAGTAGGTACATTGACTTATTCGAAACCAGTTATGTCGATTCCTGGATTTTGATTTAAAACATTGAAATTGGTTAGGATCCACCTCAAACGGGGGGGCGGTGCCATCTTAAGACAGTCCCTCGATCTTTAAAGGATTCCTCATCGACAAGTGTTACTTCGCCCGCACTATGCGAGTGCGCACTACTTACTACTACAAATGTTCATAAATTTTTTGGAAAACTGACAGCTTGAGCATTCATTGCTTGAAGGATAGCTAAGAAGCTTAAAATGATGGGCAATCTATTAAAAATATTAAATTTTTATGAAAGAACGACTTGCAAGCGTGAAGAAAAGTTACAAAATTTAAACCTCACAAATTGTTGATAGAAAATTTTAGTTGCCCAACATCGTCAAAAATCATTTAGTGTTAAATTTGCTGCTGTTGCATAAAAAAATTAAGTAAATATTATCGGCAAGTAACACAGTTATTTATACAGCCTATTATAAAGGGCAACAATAGAGTGGACGTACACCCAACTACCATGGATAACTCCCTAAATAAAAAGGCAAGTGATGAAGCAGTGAAGTACTACGCACATATTAGCATCAAAGAATGCGGTCAAATTCAAAGCAAAGAGAACCAAAAACTGAACCTCAACCAAGCTCGCTGACTCGAAAAGTGTTCAAAACTGTTAATTATACTTTTTAATTATAAACCAAAGAAGTATTTTAATTATTATTTGTAGCCATTGTCATCTACCTAATAAAACATCGGTTCTACGCAGAATAGCAACGACTGGAAACCAGCTACTAATTCTCATTATAAATTAATGCTAATTATGGTTAAGATCTACTTTTGTGGTTACAAGTTTGTAATATATTTTTTGTAATATACCAAACACATTTTATTTTATCAGCTACGTATCCTTTATTATCAAAATTTCGTATACTAAAAGACATGGATCTACAGAGGCTACCAAAATTTATAAAGCACCAAATTTTTTTTAGAATCTTAGTTTGTTTAGTAACAAATGCTTACCAAATAACCGCCACAACTGACGTCTATTACAAGGATAAAGATAAATATGTGTCAATGAATCTAAATAACATGCAATGTGAACGCTACTGTATACTATCTTAACTAGTATATACTTGTAGCTTTTCAATATTCGTGATATAACCAGTCTGTTATAATGTCTTACGAAAAAAAAAAAGTGATGGCGGGGGGGGAGGAATTTACAACTGTCATAACAAAATGATAGAAAAATAAAATTGGTGGTAAAGGACGCGACCGTTAATTCAGGTTACAACGGAACGTAGCACCAGATCATAAGGAGAAACTGAAATGAAATTATTACAGCTGTGGAAATACAGCTGAAATGGGTATCGCCGAAAAGGAGAGGAAATAAGCTTGAGAAACAGCAGTTGAGAACAACGAACCTAAAACACAAAAATAGAGCTTTATTATAATGAATACAAAGAAATAACTTCCTTTAAAAGGGAGTCGTTTAACTTATACACTTGTAGAAGAAAGAAGAGAAAACAATTATTTGCGTACTTTAACAACAAATTTAGTTAATATTTACATGATACTTGAGGCGCTGACGGGATCTAAACCTACGAACTATAATATTGCAGTTTAATTCAGGCTGGCAAAGTGTAGCAATGACAGCATTAAAATAAATAATTAGCTACCATATCAAGTTGCATATTAAAATGTAATATAAAAGAACTTCAACATTTAGTATTTTTTTGTCTTTAGTACATTAGAAAACTGAGCCACGTAATGATTTAAATTAGGCGCTACTATTTATTAGGTTTTTTTAAAAAACCTCGAAGTCTTTAAAAATAAACGTTCTGTTTATCATACGCCTTGCAGAGAATATACTGGCGAACATAAGTTCTAAAAACTTTCTAAAAAGGGAGTGTAGTATACTTGTGAACAAAGAAATTAGGTTAAAGCTGCTGAAAGTTTCGCCCCCTGGAATTAATTTAGTGGAACACGTAACGTTCATTTGCGAAGATGGATGTCGGCAGTCAAAAATAATTATAACTCTTTCAGGTTCTTTGAGGTGTTTGCACTAGCTCGACAAATTAATGCCACTCACTAAAAGAAATTTTGTGTTCATGATCTCACCAAAAAAAATGAAGTTTTTCCCACAGTAGAGTTGATGGTCAAAGAGATCGGCAGGACTAACAAAATTTTTACTAATCATTATTTAAAATTTGTATAGATTCAGTAAGATAGAGGCTACATAAAGTAATTAAATCTCTTGAGCACTTGAAAAAGACCTTTTTTTAATCTGATTTTAATCAAACATAACGCTTTTTCCAGCTAATGGAAATTACTATATGGATATTTTGGTTTCTTTTCTATTTGGGTGATAAATATTACGGATTATTAGATCTCGACTAAGAAATCTATGGGGTAAAAATTAAGAGTTAAAGCAATGGATTATGAAAAGACAGGCTTTTAGTATAAAGCATTAAACAACCGCTTTCTTTAGTAGCCAGAATCCATATTAATATAGTAACATAGATTGCTTAGAGTACTGAACTTTATCTTAAGCAACATAAACGCACGGCTGATAATTGTTAGCACCACAATTCGGTTGCAGGGTTTCTACGAAGAGAGATTTCCGTAACATTGAGTAAAAGATTAAAATATAATAAACACACGAGTCTAAGTTACTAGGACAAGTTACTATGAAGATAAATAACCAAGAAAAATTTTTTAAAATTGTAAGCTAATTTTCGAAAACTAAGATTATTGAACTTAGAAACTGAAGTGATATTGAGGTTTTTTTATTATATAAAAATTTACGGTAACGAGTTAAGAGTATTGTAGAAATTAACTCTTAGATACACCATTTATTGTTCCGGTAGACACCGCAGCCAAATATATATGGTATGAAAGCAGCACGTTTGGTTATAATTTACGACACTAAGTTATTGCTTTGGGACCTAACAATGTAAATGTTACATATTAAAACCATTATACTGGTATGATAGTTGTTTTCCTTAGCTCAACGGTTAGAGATATAGAAGCGCATACTTAAGGCTGTAAGTTCGATTCCCGCCAATGCGACTCTCTTTTTCGGTCTTTGCTGTTGCGTATTTAACCTCGCTTTAAATAGAATTACGATAGGATTACGCTTAAGAGTGCCAAACATTCCGTTGAAATACCCCTTCGACATTGTTTTTTGATCAGGTGTCAGTAAACACGGTACGCATAGCTATTTTTTTCTTTCATGGCCAGATGTTCGTGTAAAATATTACGTACTCGTTTCATTAAAATGCTTACAGTATCCGCTACCTCTCCTAATTTTAACTTTGTGAATGTCAAACCGATTTTGTTTAAGTTTTCTATCATCTCTGGCGTAGTCACTTCAGTGGTCAGTAAACTAGTGATTCGCTACTGGTGCTTGTCCGACCCATTTAAATTCAGCAGCGGAACATTTAACCGTCGTATTCGATGGAGAAGAGTCCCCTAACTTTGAGTCTAATTCATTAATTTTGGTTGTTAGACCTTTAAAAAAGTATAATCAATGATCACACAACATTTTAAATTTTTCATTGTGCTGAACCTACTTGATGCGTTTATTTTGACGGATTGCTGTCAAGGCATTAATCGACATTGACTTTAATTTTCTAAGGTAACCCAATAAAGGATAAAATCAAGCAATGTCTTCATAATATGCGGTAAAATGGCAGTACATTCATATGAGGCCCAGAATAGATCACTCCACTCACGTATGTATTTCATAGGCTTGGCAAAACAATCTTCGTAGCTACCGCGCTTTATTAACATTTAACTCCTTTGCTAAAAGCCTATTGCGTCATAACTATAATTAATTTATCAGTAATTAACAAGAGGGGACCTAGTAACTTAAAAAATGATCTAGAACAATAAAATTAAATAGTTATCTTTTATTTATATTCGTTTTTTTCCATTAATTTAGTTACAACGAGCTGATTGTCAATAATTATAGTTCCCATTTTTACCTTTTACGATAGTAATGAAAATATTCGTAATAGTCTTTGCAAAAAAACATTCTACTATTTAATTTTGCTTAACATTTAAAACTGAAATCTATCTACCACACCATAAATCAATAATTTTGGTATTCATACTACCCCGAAAAATATAATAGTGTAAAAAATGATCTATGTCTCGACAATAATTAGTTGTATCTTAGTTGCTGTAAAAAGCCTTAATAACTGTTTGCATATTGTAAAATTTTCTTAAGCAGACTTATGCGCTTGATTGTTTAAAAAAAGGAACAGGACCAGTGATACCATCCCCTTCCCTAATAGACAACACCAAACCCATTTTGTGAATAACACACCGCTAGATATCGGTTTCTGTTTATAAACTGGGACTAACTTCTATAAGGCAATGGTAAAGTAAACCCTGAAACTTCTGTTTCTTTATTAGGGAATTACAAACGTTAAATTAAACTTTAAGCTGTTAATTTAGTAACCCGGCAATAGAATTTTAACTTGCCAATATTAGAAAATGGAAGGGATCCCTTTAATAGGAACTATGCCATTAACCATTGTCAATTGCTTTAAAACTATCCAATTGTGGGCCTATATAAAAATATTCTATCAACCAATCTGTTTTTCGTGTTTTTCTTAGGCATCTAGGAACACAAACAAACTATTTATACTGTTTTGCTGCGGTTTATAGGTATTTTAAGAAAACTATGGAGTTTTCAACAACATATTCTTCCTCGATACCTGCCAAAGATGCTATGAAAAATTGGAAAAGCCCTTTGTATATAACTTTATAAGTTTATCTATACGCTTTCTCTCTTATCTTTAAAACAACGCGTGTAACTTTAATTGCAAACATTATCTGCAAACAATTTGTGTATTAGGGATAAGCCCACAAGAGAGTACATGGCTTCTGTTTACTGGAATTTACTTATTACCTCTCTTCTAGCTTTTTTAACCGCTACCTCAAATGTAAGCTTTTATGTGGTAAGTTTTACGAAGAAAGCACTGCTGTATTAACCACCTCAAAGTGTATTTATAAAACAATACTTTTTCTATAGCACCCCATTATAAGCGGCGCTTGCTTAATTGCTTGCTTAGTAGCTGTGAAGAATATCACACCGACAAAAAGCCACAAAATTGCAAGATTTTTGTGTATGTGCGGATATAGTGTCTTCTCAGGTTCAGACTTTTTTTTTGCAGAAAAAGATTATTTTGTCACACTTTACTGACTACTACCTTAAAATTTATTTAGGTAAACATCAATATTAGAGAGTTTAAAGTAAACAATTTTTTTTATAATTTTTTTGAAAATTTATCAGCTAAACAATTACTTCTTTAACTCTGTTCCTATGTATATCGTAGTTTACAAAGCAGCTTACTCGTGTGCTACTAAGTGTATTCAATTTTTACAACTTTTTAAATTTACTTTAAATTTTTTGCGAAAGAATTAATATTTTTAACTCATAGGATTACTAATAAATCCACTTCTCCAAATGACACTAGCCATGGATCCTTCGTAATTCCCGTTAAAGTTATTTCCACGAAATATCATACATAGTTACTATCCTTTTAAAACAATGACTTACTTTTTATTTATGTTAATAGAATTGTAGTAGCTGCACTTCTAGCCACTTGCGCCATTTTTGCCTGTTTTAGTCTTTCCGCTATTTTCGCAGTAAACTCAAAGAATTTGTTCATGTTCGGCGGTAAAATTGACCTACATATATAAAGAGAAAATGACCGTTGCTATAGTTTCTTCTTCTAAAGGTTTCTTGTCTTCTGCGCTAACCTCTTTAGCCGTTCTCTCTTTGACAAATTGGTTTTTCCAGAGCGAACTAATTATTCTTATTAACTTATATGCCGGCTTATTGGTATTTTTTTAACCTTAAATTAAAATAATCATATTGTAATTTCATATAGATCTTCAGTCTTTTCATAATCTACGACACTCAGGCAATCATTTTAAGTTTTAAGAAAGGCACTAACGATGCTATCGGCCACGCGCTCGACTTATACTTGGATTTGTTTTCCGTTTTCTTTCGATTAGTTATAGCGTTAACGCGGAATAGAAAGAAAAGCGAGAGCAACACGCGCAAAAAGAAATCGAGGATTTAGGAGTTCTTAATAAAATAAACAAGTAATAGGAGAAGTTTCACTTTTTCAATAGAAACACAACACAATAAAAGCCAATTTGCATAAAATAAAATTTTTATGAATTTTACTTTTTTAAAAGTTAATGTTATAAATTTAAAGTTGTCAAATGCTGCAGTAGCAAAGCTTTAATCCTCAATCTTGTAGCTTCGTTGCCATCCTCCACGTGGATGATCGTCTTATGTGGGCTCACGTGGACAACTGACCTTAAACTTTCAAAATGGAGTTCCAACGTGAGCGAGTCCTTTTTGATAATTTGGACTCCCCCATGCTGCAAGTTGATATTATTATCATTATTACTGCGAATGGTTTTATTATTCACGTACCAAATTATTAATAAGTGTCTGAACTAATTTGTCTGTCTCGATTGTACCAAAAAGGTGTCCAGTTTGATAAGAGGACTGTAACAATTTACATAATAATAGTAATAATAATAATGATGGTAGTAGAAGTAAATACCATAAAAGGTACAAGTTCGCAAGTATTGTTATATAAAGACAACTGTCCATTAATTGAAGATGCCAATGTTTGCGAACTGACACGACAAAACCTGATACTATTTGCTAACTGTAAAAATGATTTTATTGAAACAATAACAATAATAATAATAATAATAATAATAAACGTCTTTCGTCATTGATGCAGTAATAAAGCGGTTGTTTAATGGTATATGAACTTCGTCTCCTGTAAAAAAGTAGAATAAAAAGTATTTAACTTTTTTCAAGGTTAGCAAAAAGAAGCAAACCACTTTCATAAGTTAATAATTCAATCTTTTTCGGAGGAGAAATAGCTTTTTTTTCCTACCGTGGCTAGATAATAATAATAATTATAATAATAGTTATACTACTTTAAAAAAGAAGCCACTCAAGTAATTTTTTGGCATCAGCACTGAGTGAAACGCGAAGTCGGAGAGCAATGCATTAACTTCCTATAGAAGAAAAAACTTAGTGAACCTTGGCCGAGGTAAAGAAACCGGGAGAAAACCGGAGCTGTGAATCGGGTATCTGTAGGATGTATACGAACTTTCATTTTTATTGGTAAAAAGGGAGCCAGACTAGCAGGAACAGAGACATCAGGATCTACTTAGGGTATTGTAGAGATAATAATGATAGAGTCATAATAATAATAAAAGACCTGTAAACACCACAAGATGGTGAGGGTTGCTTTTCCATAATCGAAGAAAATAACATGAATCTCCTACAATAGTATTATTTAATTGAATTCGAAGACTAAAAAAAAAATTTCGATAAGAAACCCCAACGAAGAGTTGGATCGCCCGTGAACACCACGCACGGCTGACGCATTTTACGAATCTCATCGCTAATAAGGGTAATACAAAACTCTCCACAAAAAGGACGAGCATTTTAAATAGTTCTTTACGTGTTCGCCACCGAATCGAGTACTATCAACCGCTGCGCACGTGTCATTTCCTCATGCGCGAATGGCGCTTCGGGAAGAAACACGCGTTCTGCTTTTTCAGTATTTAGCCTTTTTTTATATTTTAAGTTATTACAATAAAATAAAATAAAAATAATTTGAAACCATTCTGAAAATATATTAGAGTAAGCGAGTGAAGCAGAGGCTGACATGGAAATTAAATAAAACGGGACGCCTTGCTTGTTCAAGTTGTTCAAGTGCACATGGAGAATTTCAAGTAGGTCGTACACCAATCCGCACGCACGTACAGGGAAGAGTACGTTGCCTCCTGAAGAGACCGCAAGCGCTGACATGGCATTACCCTCTTCAGCCTACAATAAACACGTAAGAGCACGCAATTTACCGACATCCCGGCAGATCTCGCCAAGAACATCCGCTACGGGAGTCGGCGAGAATGGCGATAACCCGTTCATTATAAGTAAATCTCTATTACGAAAAATAAAGTTTATTGGTTAATATTTCTTATTTATTATTAGGTGTACCCATTTTTAAGGGCCTCCACATCGATGGAAACTGGATGCCCCGTAGAAAAAGTGGAGGAGGCCGTCATGACACATATCTATTATGCATGTCGAATAGAACGTGTAAACACTATAAAAAACGGATAATCAAACTTTAGCAAACGACGACTGTATACTCCAGTTGCAGCTACCAATAGAAAATCCAGAACTAGAATCATACTATAGAATAAACGCAGTACTATGAAACCATGTGATTGCTTAAACCTGGACGGCGTGATATCGAGTAAACCGTAAACATTCACTTTCTCTCTAAAAGATACACAAGTGATCGTAGAAACGCACTTCTTCAGGCTGGAAAGACTACGGTATAAATAAAAATAATAAACTTTAAAAGAATTTTTGTAAAAAGCAATGGTCATAGTACTCATAAAGGGGTTTGTAATTCAGATGTTCGACTCCTTCAGGAAGGTAATCGAGAAAACCTGTTTTTAAAATAAATATTGTGAACATTATAAGATATTCTTACGACGTACAAGAAAGTTTGCGATGGGCATTGTCCGCTTTGCAAATGGAAGAGCTTATATTTCGAAGCAGTTCCTCAAGGTAGTGATACCCAAGTCTAACTATAATTAATAAAAGATTATAAACATTTAGATAGAGCTGCTTTAAAGCAACAGCCACTTATGCAGACTAAATTATCCAATAAAAACTTTCAACAACGCTATTTATAGCCGTCAAGCAAGTCGTGGGGAAACGTTAATATTAAGTTTATTATACTGAAAAGTGATTATAGAAGAAAAAGGTAGAGTTTCTCGAGAAACTTATTGCAGTCACCCTTTATGCCGTAAGGAAAAGTGTTTGCGACCATTCCTGCAGGGTTAACACAAAATATAACGCAGAAGGCGATGATGGCTCTCGGAAACTGAGTTCGTTTACTGATTGTTAGCCGCCTGTCTACTGGTAAACCCACGTGTTAGCTCCCCGAGATGCTCCGGTTTGCACGAACTACGCTCTGCTATAAATTAGGGCAGCTAAAGGAAATGGACTTTGTTTCGTTAGTAAAGAAAATTCTCATACGAAAAAGAATAATAAAAAATAATTTGTAGTAATATAAAAATATGCGTAAGTAAATAAGCAAGACAGTGATAAAGAAGCTCCATATAAAGGTCGTTTTCAGCAATTTACTTAATTAGTTATAATATGAACATTATTCTATGAGCAATGATAACATAATGTAAGTATTAAAAACTACTGGTTATACCCCAAAACAACTTATAGCATACAAATAAAAGTATATTTTATTAATTAAATATTACTATAGATAAATATATAATATGAAAGTATTACATATTAAAAAAAATATTATAACTATTTAAAATAGACTTTTTATTAACAAAAGAATCATAAATATATTTTAGTATTAATATGAAAAATAAAATGTTTAAAAGGATGTATATAACTACTTTTAATTATCTGATTAAATAAAAAGTAACCTGTATATAAAAATATTTATAACTTCATTATATAAATAAATAATATCTTAATTATAGTTATATTTTTTTGTAAAACTTTATAAATTTTTTTTTTAAAAAGTATTATAACTTGCGTAAATATATAAAAAAATTAGTTATTTTAAATAAACATTTAGTTTTCTTAATACTCAGTTTGTAATTATCATAGCAGTATTTAGAAATTATTTTTTTTAAGTTGTACCATAGAAATAAATAAATAAAATTTAATAATAATTTTTATTTTATAATAAATATATAGATTTTTTTTATATATTATTTTAAATAATATATATAATTCAAAGCATAACACAGTAAATGAATAAATTATAATAATAGTAAATTTTATATATTAAGTATAAACAAGAATATTGTATAGAAATAAAAAATAGTTATAATAAAAATAAAACAGTTTGAAGTTTAACAGAATTATATCTAAAGAGTTGTTATACTTTTAAAGCTATTATCTTAGATATATAAAGCTTACTTGTTGGTTCTGTAGCGTAAATGACCCCATTAAACTCGGGATGATCAGTAATATAAGGAAGTCCAGATAAAGTCGAGGAATTGGATAGTAGAACAACGTCAATCTGCTCAATTAAAGTGAGTGGGCGCGTACGTAGAACTGCTACCGGTTATTATAGTAAATTTTAAAAGTTAAGAGTGTATGGCAGATTAAATAGTCGATTAATTGTAAATGGTTTACATGGGACCCAAAAAATAATAATATATAATTAGGTAGAATAAAATTTTATTTGGTAAGGAGACTACTATCGCACAGCATTTTGTGTTAAGCAAGAAAGGTCTAGCGAGGCACATAATCGGCCTCTAAAATATTATAACGGCAATTAGAATACTATACGGGTAGGCGACTTTTCGTACTACCAAATTCATTTGCTTAAGTTAAACCAAAATAAGTTCTTTAAAAAATATAAAATAAAAGTTCTTAGGAACTTTGTAGAAAAAAATATAACATATAGTTGTACTAAAACTTGCCAAATTACCATTAAAAAAAATTCAGTCGCAATATAAAGACATAAGTTGTCGTATTTTATGTCACCAGGTAGTTTATTGTCAATGTGAACCAAATAAAACCATTTTAGGATTAGTACTCATAAGAAGTAATTTTACAAAATCTTTAACCAAAAGCTTTAAGAATATTTTTATTATAATTGTTTCAAGATAGTAAATTTTATTATGATTATGTCGTAAATATTTATCAATCTAATAAAATTTCTTTTAATTTAAACTCAGAAATAACTTTGTGTCTGATTACTTTCTTACCATAACTTAAAAAAAAATAAGTATATTTTTATTTTGTTTAGTATTAGAGATAAAAAACAAAAAAATACTAAATGGTTTAAAGGTAATTACCAATAAACAAATAATAAGTAAGAAAAAATGTAAACCTCACTAAACTCGATCAGCTCAAACAAAGGAGATCTATACTTAATCTAAATAAAGAAATTATAAATAATTTGTAACATTATCTATAATAAAAAACTATAGAATATTGTCAGTACCACAAAACTTTTATTCTTAGTTTTTTATAGTACTATTTCTTTGACTCTTAGATTAAAAAGAACTTTAAGTAAAAAGTATTAAACTACTTACTATAATATTAATAATAATAAGTTTCTCAAATTATTTGTAATAAGTAAACTTTTTACTTTTTTATATTATATTTTTTATTTTATTTTAAATATTATTATTAATTAATTTACTTCTTGCTTCCTATATATAGTTTTTTTAACACAAATAAATAATTAGCTTAACAATTAAAGAAATTGCCTATAAAAGTAAAATAAAATATTGACCGATTTCAAAAAGTTAAGGTCTTAAGAAAAGCTTAGAGTAAAATTAACTATGATAATACAAATAGTCTTATAAAAAATAATAGTTCAAAACTAAATAAAAATCTATGTATCAAACGTTAAAAATATATATTAGTATTATAATAAAATTAAGTGAAGTCATTAATAAAAATTAAAATAACTCAAAATTTTTAGTGTATAAGACCGTTATTAGCATGAATAATAAGGATTATTATATTGAGTAAACCACTAAGACATTGAATAAATAATTAAATGGATACATAGATCCTTTTAAATTTTAAATAAATTTATAGTATTAGTGTTAGTAAATATTTAAGTTTAAAAAGCCTCTAAAAACTTTTTACTGCATTAAAAAAAAATTCACTCAATAAGGATTCAGTTTAATATAGTAGTATGTGAAACAAATATAAATAATAACAATTTTACTGCTACAAAGTTTGTATGAGTTATATAGAGTATATTTATTATATTATAAGTAGTAAACACATTTTTTATTACAATTATTAGAGAAATCAAACACAAGTGTATACATTATAAAATAAATATATATGTTAACGATAAAGAAAGCTTATAATGCAAGCATCTTAAGTTAAATATTTTTAGATATGCGACACGATATATAGAGCACCCGACCCAAGAAACAAAATTACTTTAGTATTTATAAGACTAAAATCCCCAAAAGTTTTAAGAACATCGTCAGCTTTGAAAAAAGTAGGGTCATCTTGCCGTAAATAAGCCGCTAAAAAGTTATACTCCTCGTCTAACAATTAAAAAATCTACTTTACTTAAAAGTAACATATTTAAAAAACTTAAAGTAAACAAGCAAACACAAAAGGAGCAAGTTAATTAAAAGTGATTATAAGAGCAAAGGAATAATAAAAAAGAGAGTAACGAATGATAAGAAAAAGGCATATTTAATAGATTTTAAATAAATAAATAGTGACTAGACTCGAAGTCTTGTAACTTAAAAAAAGACATTCTTAAAAAGATAAAATACAGATGGGAAATAAGAAAACACTTTAATAAATTTAGATGGATAACTTGATTTTACTGGTAAACTATAAGACAATTGGAAATTGTTTTACACCTTTCTTAAGACTAAATTTTCTTTGTTCTTGTGAATGCTTAGTTTCCTGTGGTACATATAAAAGTGACGACTGCAAGTCAAGGACAGGATCAATAAGAATGTTTACTCTTAAGTAAGCAATATATATAAAAATGTTAGTAAGGTTTTTTCCCTAATAAAAATAGTACAAACCCATTATGACTAATTAATAAGCAGTCTCCACTTATTGTCTCCCCTAAACAAGTCTAAATAAGTAAGTTAACCCACGAATTTCGTAAAAAAAACTTAAAAAGCTTACTACTGTGACCATCAAAGCTTCTGTGGCTCGGTCTAACAGGAGTATGGGTTTAGCTAAGATACCACACCATAGAGAAAAAGTGTTTGCAGAAGCCTTTCTAGCCAACTGAAAGTACCACTCCTGTTACCCATCCGCGACTCCCTAACCCTTTCAATTTATCTTTTAGGGACGTAGTAAGAATGATGTGTAAAGATAGAAAAAAAACTTGTACTAAAAGGCGCCTACCCAGAGTGGGGTTTGGGGCGCAGCTCTTATGGAGTTAGCTCTATTACTAATAGTTAGATAAACTAAAGTAAATAGAGTGGTTTTGAACTCCCGTAGTGCGAAAATTATGTAAGAGAAAATTTTAGCAAGCTTTTGAGACCTTAACTAGTTGTTGTAATAAATGTACAACAAATGCTTTATCAAGAAACCGCGAATAGTAGAAAAATTATGGTTTTTTTAACTTATTTATTACTATGTAAAATTCTTTATATAGAATTCTACATTTGATGTAAAAGTAGTTAGTTAAGAAAGGCATTCCGAAAAGTAAAGAATTATTATTGACAACTATTTGCACAATTCATATAAATAACCCAGCGCACACAATCGTTATAAACATAAAAAATAGTAAATCTTAGAAGCCTCCTTGCTCCTACTAATTTTTTAGGATAGAAAGAATTAGGAGTTTGTGAGGGCTCCGAAATCTATAATTAAAATATTCTGCCCCTTTGGATAGACATCCACTTTTTAGCGTGTAATGAAAGCTGGCAACCGAACATTGTTTTCTTCATGCAACTTAGATGTACCTAAGAGAGCCTAGTTACCTTACAAAGTTTAATTAATTACTCCAGAGAAGTAGTTACTCCTTTAATTAGTCTGTTTAATATCTATGAGATTAAGTAATGTTTAAATTAAATATAAACTATAACTTTTCTGTTAAAGCATAGCTTATGGAACTGGTATAATAGGAGATCTTAACAAAATTATAAAGTTGAATTATTTTGTATGAGTATAAAAGTAATTCTCGCTCTATAAAGAAAGTGTAAAATGCTGGACAAAAGCTGCAACATATAGCCAACAGTCGAATACAATCCTAGCTGCAAAGTACTACTACTCATAGCCCAACCTGCGCAATGGCCAATACGATTGCACGTAAAGGACTAACTTGCTGCGGTCAAAGCCCAGCAAAGAAGACTGAGCATACCGCACAAGGAATGTTAAATCTATAAAAGTACAAGACATGCTCCAGATAAAGAGCTCGAGAAGAGGAGGTTTCCAGCTCTCTTATAGAGAGTTTTTTAAGCCCTTAATTATTCAAATAATAGTGCTGTTAACTGGAAAGGTGAATGAAAATTTTTTTACTTTACTTTAGTTATGTTCCCTTAGGCAACACTATTCAAAATTAGATTCTATAAATAAGGTTGTCGTACTCCGGATGGAACTAAAGTAGAAGTAAGGTTGCTCTAACCTCAGTAAGCTAAGAAACCTAAAATCCGAGTCACATAGATTGCAGAATACGGCCCAACTCTTTTTCAACGAGTTATGCAAGTGACCTTAGCTCACTACGACATTAATTAACCCCTCTTAGATTACTGGTTACTAGGTTTACCATTTACTGCCTAGTTTCAGTTGGCAAGAAAAGGTCTATGGAATTGGCCTTAAACGACAAACTCGGTCTCTGAAACAATCGCTGGTAAGTTTGGGAGCAATGTTTTAACGGACTAGGCAGCAACCCAACATAGCATAAAAAGTGGTAAATTTAGTTACCAGTGATCGTAAAACAAATCTATTTTAAGCTCCAGAGGGTTAAAGGCCGTTAAAAGTAAAGTTATTTTTACGAAGTTTATAGTGTAAGAGTCAATCTTTTTGCTGTACAAGAATATGAGACAACAAGTTTACATCTTGTTTAAATGATGCCTAGTACGAGTATGCTTTAACATAATATTAGAGAATATGTTTTACCTATTTTGGATCCTCTTTTATATTTCCTTTATAGTGCTAGACAGTTACTACTTCTCTTGTGAATTAGCTCATTAAATGTATAAGGATAGAGGACTTAATTTTTTATTGCCTCATTGCTAAGGTACTGTTCTCTAGTCCATACTAAGTCCTTTTTTATATGATTTATTTAACATCTCTTACTAGGTTCTTCAAAGATAGATAAGCTTATTAATAAGTTATAATAAAGATAAGTACTAAGTTAATTAACCTAATGTGCGATAAGATCGAATATTACTTCCTAGTTGGAGGTTCACTAGTTTCTACCTATTCGATTCTATTTTGAAAATAGGTTGTTTTACCTTGATTGTTACTTTGAGTATCGGTGGCATTATAAAAAGCTAACGATTGTATCGACTTAAGCCGATTATTGTATTAATTAAAGCTAAACGTTGCTCACGTCTTAGAACCTTAGCTACAAAGTAAATTAACCACCCAAGGGAACAGCAAAGGTTAGAATTATTTAGTACTTAGATACAGCATTTATTTTCCTGAGTAGAAATAGAGAAAAGTTGCCATGACAGCTTGCCAGCCAATGTGGAGCCAAGTCCTTATACCCTAGGCAGCTATGCTTAAGAAGGGGATCGGACCCCTCAAGTTACTGTGAAGCTCAAGCAGTTTGGTAAAGAAAAGTTCTACTTTAGTAGAACAAAACTAAATAACACTCTAGAAGTGCCAATTAAATGGTTCTACCGAAGTAGAACGAGAAAAAAAGTAAATGAACAAAGTTAAACCCTGTATTCGACTTGTGCCTCGGCTTCGTTCGGGGTGAGTGCGCCATCCGATTCATGCGAACCTATAGCGTAGATTTCAAGATCCAGCGTAGTCTGGACGACAGCGTCGCCAGTTGGAGCCGGTAAAACACCAAGGATTTAACTTTGTTCTTTTAATTTATTTTTGGTTTTTACTTTGGTAGAACTTTCTAAATATCATTTCTAGTGTTGGTTAATTTTGTTTTACCAAAGTAGCACCTTTTTGTTTTTTCACTCTATTTTAGTAGAACATATTCATGAGCTACCATTTCTAGACTGTTAGGTCGTTATCTTGTTCTACTAAAGTAGAACCTTTTTAAGTAGCGAGCTAACTATTTAAAACACTAGTAATACCTTGCTCATTAGAGTACAATGAAAAAGAGTCTTATACTCTTCCAAAGTGAAACAACCTACTTTAAAACTTTAACTTAAACTTAAAATAGAAGAGGTAGAAACTAGTCATCTTCTTCCCTACTAGGAACTAAACTTGGTTTTTTAACTTTTACATAATTCAATCAAGACTCTGCAACCCCTTTATAAAGCTCCATGTTATGTGATAACCTCGTGCTTCTTCCCGAGCATGAACTTTAGCCAGAGACCTGGACAGCGAATTATACTTTCTAACTTCTTTGGGGCGATAGTAACACGTCTCTAAAAGGTTTTTTTGACTTTATTCTTAAAACTTAGCTATGCTTGGGGTTATCTTATTGAACTCAGAGAATACAGTCAAATTGTAAATATAATTATAAATAGACAAATAAATTAGTAAGAATAAAAATAGATGAAAATAATGGGATATAACACAATAGAAAAAATAAATAAATAAGAATAAAAAGAATTAGGTTTGAAGCATTAGTACTTAATTAACAGGGTACTAGAATATAACTTCTGTATCCTTGCAAATAAAAAGATCCTTTTAAGCATGTTTGGGCTGGTTTTAGTAAGTAGCAAAGTCTAGGTTAATTCTTTTTAGTTCTTGAGTATAAGCTGGGATCGGGGCGCGATATCCTAGCATTAGGCATGAGTGAAACTTGCCGAGTTAATCGAATAAGCAATAGGCAAGTGTCATGAGTAAGGACTCTAACAAGAGAACATCCTTCCGGTGCCATTAATATCTACTAAACTCTAACTCATTGATCTAACTTTGGTAAGTCTTAACGCTTGGTACCGAAGTTGTACGTCACCATTTAAAGTTACAAGCTGTTTTACATACCGTTCGAAGGTAGCCCTATGACGAGTGTTAGCTCTCTAGTTCTTCGGGTATACGTTATCGTTAATATAATACTTTTTACTAGCTTTTGTAGCAGAAAATTACAAAAGTGACAAATAAAACACGAAAGGTTAACAAATTTTACCCTTAATTATTTTTAGTTGTACGCTTACTTATAGTAAAAGCTCTATACAAGTGACTGTTAGAGCACGACAACCATAATCACGAAACATAACTTTTTACCCGTCCTCGCCTGAAGAATGAACAGAGCTGTAAAGTTTTACTATAAGTAACGCAAGAAAGGCGAACCACTTTTACACTTTGATCAATGCTTTATCTTTCTAAAATAATGACGAGTTGAAACCTAGCAAACACCTTAATAGGCTCTCTTTTTTAGTGCCTTATCCTGCAAAAATTGAAAAAGTCTTCAATCATTTAAGATATAATAATTTTATTATCTTCCAAGCACTCTCTTGCATTTTTATAACCCACTTTGCTATTTTTATTTGGGTAGAAGCGGTATATGAAATAATTATAGTCCTTCAAAATTACGTACAAAATCTTGGCAATTTAGCTCGAGGTCCTTATTTTTTCGTGTACGTCCTGTATCTTTAACTGTTATTTACTTTACCTTAAATTTCCTTTGTGCGGGACCGCAGCAAATAAGTCCATTACGTGGAAGCGTATTGGCCATTGTGCAGGTTGATCTATTAGTGCTAGCACTTTGCAGCTTGGGTTGCATATGACCGTCAGGCGTTAGCTATATATCGAAGCATTCGTCCAGTACTGTACCAACTTTAGCGAAGTTAAGATTGATAATTGTAGCCTAGTGATTATCGTAAAGCGTCCAAAAGATATCGGGCCTGTCTAAAAAATTAGGTTGTTATGCAGTCCAGTAGCTCGAGGGAACGTCAGGGGCTATGTTGCTATCTTGGAGTCTAGTGCTGAGCCGTCACATTTGATGTCCATCCTTGGGTTGATGGCAAGATAAATAATGCAGTAACCTAAAGATTTTGTAGTAGTTAACAACCCTCTAAGGTCTATGGCTTTGGTGACTTAAGCTGAAATCATTCAGTAAGCTTAAGGTATCCGGCTCTGGGCTTACAATCTATTCACTTAAAGATTACACCTAACATTATGAATTTGGTTGCCTTGCTTAGTTATGACCTTATCACCATTGTCTTGCACCACAGAGAACTCCAGAGTTGTGCGACGCATGGTTCGAACTAACTGCTCTTAATAATGGTAAAATTTGCTGCATACCATAGACTTTTGAGACGTGCTATACCCCTTCTGACCTTTAAAGGTTTTGCATAAAGCTACTGAGTTCACAAGAATCGAGCTGTGGAACGTATGTACGATGCTGGAGATTCGTCTATTTAGTACACTATTTGGCTAACTAACGAGTGGTGCACTGTGACTCATGTTATACTATTGTATTACCTGTGCTTTGCTCCTCGCGTGTATTTACTTGGGGCCCACAGAACCTGGGTTTTGGTTGAAGCATTGGCTAACCCACTTGATAACGGTAGCTTCAGTGAATAGTTGCGAACGAAGGCTTCTGTTATCCTGTGTCACTGTAATGAGTGATACGTAATTGGCACTGTTTGCTTCGAGTCTAGTGCCGATTGTAACAGTGTGAGCAGTGATTATATAGTACTTACATAGCTACTTGTGAGTAACTATAGAGTGCTATCTGCTATAGAATAATAGGATATGATACGTGATGTGTACTATATAAATATTGCACGCCGCCTTATGATCTGATGCCCCAATTCAGTAAGAGTTTATCAAGCAATACTTCAGTATATCTTTAACAGCAACTAGATAACTCAAACAGAAGTCATCATCCACTCAATGCGACAGACAACCACCCAGCGTCTCAACTATGTTCTAAAGCTCGATTCTTGCGAAACCTGTAACTGTAAAGATAGGTTAATATTAAACCTATCTTAGGCCTGTCATCTGCTGAAAGGTTTGCCATTTTTAAAAGCAAATCTTTCGATCCGTGCGTATCTAATTTACTTGGGCTATTACTTGCAGAAGGCTAAATTGATTAATCACGAAGTTTACTCAAGTTCTAATTGGCTTAATTAGTTATAAAGTTTAATTAAAAAGGTAAGCTAACTCCTGGGTTACAGTCATCAGGTTAACGACAAGAAGGTGAACTAGGTGTGATTAAATTAACTATTAGATAATTTAGTTAATATTTCAGTAGTACTTGATTAAAGTATGGAGAAGATATGGAAACATCGTCGAGCAAATTCTAGAGCTCTCCTCAACCTTCTCTCGCTCTCAAACTAAGATGGTAACGCACGATAGCCGTATTCACGCTACTTATGGTTCGATGATACCTTCAAATTAAATAGCCTGCTTGATTGTTTCAAATAGATTCTAAGGGCCACAAGCTGTAGGGTTATTAGCCAGTGCACTACTAAACTGTTGCCTTCTTGCTAAGGAAGGTTCAATCCAAGGATGGACATTGAAAGTGACAAATCAGCAACATTTGTTTCACCTTGGAAAAAGTTCTACTTTAGTAAAACAAAACTAACTCACTAGCAGTCTAAAAATGCTAGCAAATTAAAATGTTCTACTAAAGTAAACCAAAAAAAGTAAAGTAAATAATGTTAAATCCTTTGGAATTCACCTGACTCGAAGGGGGCTTTGCCTTCCAGGTGATTACCTCCTGGTTCAGAAATTTACTCCCATGACCCCGACATCGGAGGAAAAAGTCACCTCGGCTTTACCGAGAGACAGGGCGAATACTGTATTTTACTTTATTTACATTACTTTTTCTTCATTCTGCTTTAGTAGAACATTTTAATTAGATAGCATTTCTAGACTGCTTGTAAGTTGGTTTTGTTCTACTAAAGTAGATTTTTTTCCAAGGTGGAACAACCGACTTCCAACCAGTCGAGACTAGTTATCAATACAGTTAGAAGTAACCTTGGTTTTAATCTAGGTATCTCCTCGAGTTGGTGCATAGGCTTTTATGGTGAAATACTTTTTATTGATAGCAAGGAAAATGTAGTTCTAATCTACAAGAGCTAAGTATTGTAGCTTATGTGATCAAACTTCCAATTTTAGGAAACTAGTTCAAACCTGTTCAATATAATAGTAAGCAAGGTGCAAATAATCTTGGACTTTTGCAACTGAAATTCAGCTAAACCTTTAGGTCATGCATGCTAATTTTTTTACATATTATTAGGAAGATAAACAAACGGGTAATGGCTTCCTAGGAGGCTCTGCTCAGTTAATGGATCAGATGATCGAGCCTATAGCTAGCAATTCTGCCTCAAGGTGAAAGAATCGTGATGGCACCGATACGAAGGCCATAAATGTAACAGCAGCAGTCAGAAAATTGACAATTGAAGGAAGTCAGATCATGTTAAAAGAAATTTTGACACAAGTAGCTCTATTTTAATTGATTATCAGGGCTGGCTCACACCAATACCAGCAGTTCGAGGTTATATCGAGAGCTTGAGTTTAATTCTCAAAAAAGTGTTAAACGGACTAAAACGGTGGAACAATTGAGCTATCTTGCCCGAAAAGAAGGGCTAAAAATATTTAGCTAGAATTGGTTTAACGGTATGTGGGAATTTTTTGTTGAGAGATGAAATTCAATCAAACTATTGGGAACTCCGTAAGCTAAAATATCAACCATGTTTCAACTGACGTTGTTGTCTTATTAAAGTTAGGGGGCTAAGAAGATGACCCGAGACCGTTTTAGGCCTAGTTTATAAATCTGATAGCTGGATACTAGCTTAACTCAACGCTTAAGCTATCTACTATCGTACTATGGCAACGTATGTGAAAAAAACAGGTGTGAGAGGAGGTTCTTGACTCATGTCTTCTAATTCGACCGCACGCGTGTCACCTTATTCAATTTAGTTTCAGGAAAGTGATGCATGACTGTCAAAAATTAGTGCTTTTTTGTAAGTAACAAACTTTAAAAAAACTAATTACAAAAGTAGCCTAAAAAAAAAGGTTAGCATGGCCTTAGTGAATTGAGCTAGAGAACTGAAACTCGAACACAAATAATACCTTTGTATCGGATAAAACTTTGCAAAATTTTTTGATGTAGGAATAAAAGTAATGAAGAATTAAAACGTCTTGATGGATGTCAACCTCTATGATAGCTCATTATATATTACTTTGGGCTTAAAATTCAAGAAAAAGGATCAAACTCAATCTTAGCTAATAGGTCTGTAGAAGTTGTAACAGGTTACCTTAAAAGAATCTGAGGTTGGAAGATAACGAAACTCAGTTTAAGAAAAAAATTAACTTACACAAGGTTAAGATGGTTTGATACCATTAGTTTCCAAAAGTTTACCCAACTTTACATACAAAACTAGCAAATAGTAATTTTTTTTTAATAATTAAGCTCCTATTGACCATCGCGTAGCTTGAGCTACTAGTGGGAGCATTTGACCGTAAGCTATAACTAGTAGCTATCGTCAAGATTGTAAGCTCCTTGTTAGATCGAGGATTGCTTTATGTCCGTAGGCTAACAAAGTAAAGCGTACGAAAAAGATCGGACCAACCTATAAAATTGAGCATTTTTGTTTCGAGATAATCTTCGCAGAACTGCTTGGAGGTGGTATAAAACAATCTGTCTTTATGATCATTGATCCAGCAGATTACAATCTTTGGAAGTGACTCAACGTCCAATGTAATTACAAATTGCTTGGTAATGTTTAGCAATCCTCTATTTTCCTTGTGTCCCTTTGACTCTAGTTAAAACATTCAAATAGGCTATCCAGCTCGAAAGGATCATCAGACAACAAGTGGTGTGAATATGGTTGCCTTGTCAACTGACATAGTAATCAGGGTGGGCAGTGAGCGGGGAGAGTTCTAAAATAGCTTGACGCTCGGATCGAAAGATTTCCTCTTGAAAATGGGAAAAACTCGAGCAGATGACAGATTAAAGGAAGGTTTTATATTATAATTGAACTTTACAGATTTTCCACATAGGCTAAGATTTCGTACAAACGAATCGAGCTGTAAAACTCATGTACGTTGCTGGGGGATCGTCAGTAAGATTGTGTACCGTTTGGCTCAATGACTAGTGGTGCATTGTTGCTCACGATACACTACTGTATTGCTTGTTTAGCTACTTGCTGCGATTTTAGCATTAGTCAACAGAGCGTGAGACAGTGTGCTGTACTTAGGCTAGTGAATGCAATTATATTGGCTTTAGTAAAAATAGTTTCGGCGAAAGCTCCGGTTAACCTCTTTTTGCTTCATGAGTAATACGAAATAATATTAATTGCACTCGTCGGGGTGCCTACAAAACACTTATGAGAGACGTTATCTATAATAGTATAGATTTAAGACATGTGTTTTGACATATTGAACAGTACTTGTTTCTTATATAATAGTATAGCAGTACGTTAATATATAGTTATGTGTACTAATTGAAATAGTATTAGTTACTAGTATATATAGGTATAAGGGGTTAGTAAACTATATTATTATTTTAGTATACTTCCCATGTACTACACTACTATGCTATTATATGAGAAACAAGTACTTTTCAATATGTCACAACATATATCATAATACTCTATGACGTATCTCATAATTGTATAATAGGCATCTAGAGAAGATGCTTAACCGTTATCATGCATCAAGTTTGTTTAGTATAATAATAAAAAAATTACTTTAATAATTAAACGTATGAAATCTTACTAA